TCCCCTCTTCTGCTATTGTGAGATATTCTTCTTCCTCTTATGATTTGTTTCGCTGTTGTGTACCTCTGAGGTGACAACTCTAGTCCTACGAGGTTAAAGCCGTGCTTTAACCCGAGCACGGCTTGAGAACGTGGCCGCAGTCGTGCTCGGCATTTTCATGAGCCGAGCCTGAGCCGAGCCTGAGCCGAGCCGAGCCGAGCCTGAGCCGAGCCGAGCCACGGCTGTTGAGCTGCTCGTGCATCTTCGCAGAGCGACTGTGAGTCGGCAAAAAGAGGCCAAGTCAAAGACCAAGCCCCATACATCTCCCCGTGTCCGTGGCGTAGTGCGTTAACCCCTAGCTCACTCAGTTTAACATGTCATCTTTTGCGACCAATATTATCCATAATAGAGTTGTTTTGGGTTGGCGTAGTGCGCTAAACCCGAGCTCACTGTGCTCCCACATTATTGGCGGTGTTTTGCAAATTTCAGCACGAGTTGTCAGATTCACATTCTTGACCAAACAGCCGAAACACATCCCCTCCCGTGGTTTACTCCATCGTGCGTGATGGGAGACATTGGCTCTTTTTTATTTTTTTTCAACTCAGGTCAAATGGACTATCGCCACTATAACACAGTAGTCGGTACCATTCGTCTGTCTCTGCGTTTTTCCCCACATAGGTTTGTTATTTTCACAGCTCTCGCTGAGTTTTTTTATTAATATTGGTGGGGATCTCAAACTTAGAAGTCATGCGAATGTGGTTTTTAAGCATGATTGCCATTTTTTGACAATATCCAAATTATTGCTATAGAAGTAGATTTTTTTACTGCATATTGGACAGCGATTACTCTCCCAGGGGATTATAGTCCCAGGCGATGGTGTGAATTTAGTTTTTTGTTGGCGTTTAAATTACTTTGCGTATTTTAAAGTGGGTCATGGGTTGTGTTTTGTATACAGTTTCCACGCGTGCATATTTAATGTTTTTTTTTTTACATTTCCACTCGTGCACGTTACACTTTACTGCCTCGTGTAAATATAACGCTTTTGTTTAGTGGGGTGCTGCTTGAACCGACTACATGTTGCCACTGGGAAATCTCTTTGCACCATTAGATTAAATTACTTGTTATGATACAGAGGGTTACGATTCGGTTCAAGAGGCTTATTTTGTTCTTGTTTTTTTACCATCTCGTTTGTATTGTTTCTCTGTTTTTGTCTGCGTCGTTTGTACATGTTCGTTCACGCCATTGGCCCAGATACAATAAAATAGTGCAACATTTACATAAAAATCTGCTTAATAACTAACACAATACATCTTAATACAATTAAGGATAGCATAGTTTCTCTAACCACTATATATCCACCTTATTACACTATCTAATTTTCCAACCGCAACCAATCAACCAACTAACTATTTAACTGGATCACCTGAATAGCTGACCTGATGACGTCATGGCGCCTACTTGTGTCTTGATGACGTCATGGCTATACCAGGAGCGTCACGGTGGTGAGATGTTAACTACCTCGCCTGGTATATACGATGCCGTGGGTTTGATCCCAACCCTGAACCCTGTATATTTGAAATTTGCATGTTCTCCCCGTGGTCGTGTGGATTTTTCTCCAGGTTCTCCGGTTTTTCCCTCCCCTTTTGTATAAATGCGTTTAGAGTATTTGGCTGCTGTTCATTTAGACGTGATACGCTTCTTCATTGGGCTATAATTTGTGGCCAGGTCGCTTATGAAAAAGAGCTATATAGCTCAGTGGGCCTTACCTGGTAAAATATAAAAAATAGTTTAATTCATAAATTCAGTTTAACTTGACATCAAACATTATAATCAAACATGGATTATGGAAAATAATTATACTGGGTGCTTGTGTGAGCACGTATTACCACATTTCATTCGGTCCCATATTCAATAACATTCAGTGGGGTTTTGTTTATTATTATAGTTTACAGGGACTCTTCTACTTAAGAACATTCGATTTACGAAATTTTAGAGATAAGAACAAACCTGACCATATGTCCAGTTGCCCGTTCGGACCGAGAGTCTAAAGTTCAACTGCCGCACAATAAATGGCAGGGGTGGCATCTACATCTGCAGAACATGAAGAACCGGTGGCATCTACATCGACAGGAGATTAACAACTTTTAAAGCCATTCCCCATGTTTAGTGCCATACAACATGTTTGGAATCGACGGGAGTAAAGTTGGACTTACAAACAAATCGACGTACAAACAGACCTTTGGAACCTAACTTGTTCGTAAGTAGGGGAGTCTCTTTATTGTATTATTGTAGTTTTTCTCAAGACAGTACTACAGTTCAATTATGATATCTATAGCAAATGTACTACCGAAATGTAAAAATAATACTAATTTAAAAAGTAACGAGAGTACTGTATTAACTATAAAATAGTATAATTACTTATCAAATGAATAATAAGCAGACCGAGGAACAGTTTATGTAATATTTAAGAAAAATAACTTTCATCTATCGCATTCGACAATTACAATCACAATCAGTCACACTCCGTAATAATCTGTTACAATCAGTAAGTCGGTTACAATCAATTTCGCTGAGTGTAATATCGTATACAATTCAGTAGGTTCAACCAATTGTTTTAATAAGTCGCAGCAGTTCGAAAAGTGCATTATTGCGACAATCAAAATATTCAAATAATACAGTACCGTTGCATTAGTATCATGGTAATAGTGTAATTAAGTAGAACTCATGTAATTCAGTGATGTAACACACAACGCTGCTTCGGTTGACTTTCAGTTCGTGAACGGCTACACAGACGTTTGTGTTCTTTGGCTAACACCCCTGAGTGGTTGAGAGAGGTCATGGGGTCATCGGTGTGGAAGTGATGCATCTCATGTCAGCCGGATGGAATCTTCATCAACTCACAACACCGACTGGTGCGGTGAAACGCAAGTTAAAGACAACTCAGATGTACACTCCCAACAATGGGCCATCAAGATCAACAAGACCCTCTATATGAATAAATTGCCCAACTTTTAACTGAGGGCGAAACACATTTACGCCATCGTAATAGGTTACTTTAATGCAAAAGAGAAGGTCGAATGTACAGAGGTGAGAAAATTGATTGTTAAGTTTGACACTGAGGCAAGGAATGAAAGCAGTGGAGCGCCTATTTGAGTTTGCAGCCAGCAAAAGCCATGGAAATAATGGACACATCGCTCAAACAGAAAGCGTCTCAGAAATGGACATGGAGGAAATCCAGACGGTGAAAATAGAACTCAGATGTATTAGGTCGCCTAGCCCACATTGTCCCTCAACATCTGTGTTGCTCAGCAACTTCACCACAGGGAAGTGATCGCAGACTGCTGCGATGCAAGTTGTGAACTGCAGCGTAGCCAGAGAGGGAAACACGAATTCCAGCCAACAAGATAGCTGAATAGAAAATATCTGTATCAGCTGGTAACTGATTTTGGTCTAACGAGCAGCAAAGACATTCAAAATGTCCAGAGGAGCAAGCGTATTAATTAATATAACATATAAGTACGAAAAAGGTAACAAAAAAACCCACAGAGAAGTAAAAAAATATATATCTTAAACGACAAACGACTTAAGGAAGAGGAAAGATATACAAATATTGTTAACAGATTGAGAAATGATAAAAGATAAGACAAAAATGATTTGAGGATGTCACAGAAAGCAATGGATAATAGTTACTGGCCACATGCCACGCATTCTTCACTGTGATTCTGTTAGGAGTCAGTGTGGCTTTCCCAGGAATACTCCCTCTTCTGCATCATCATCTTCATCATGGTCTTCATGAGCAATGGTAATAGCAACATCATCATCGTCAGCAACAGCAGCAGCTGCAGCATCTGTTTATCGTCTATTCATCATCAAATATTCTCAGCAACATCCACACACTTCAGGTCTGTCAGTTGTAGATTACATTTTCACTTGTGACTCCGAGCATGATGTACTTTTGGCAACAAAAAATACATTCGTTTTGTTTTCTTCTCCTATAATTGGATTTTTATTGTAATTTGTGGCGGCACAAATAATCACATTTGTTGTTTGGCAAGGCTCCGACGGAGTGTAACTTGGGGGGTGCGGAACATACGGCACTGCAGACTTCATGCAAGCCTGCGAGGTTAATTAAGCTTGTGAACCCCTGGGCTGTAGTGTGTTGATGATGTATGGCTGCATCTGGCTTATTTTCCCCAAGCTTTAACAGTTTTACACGACAATCGCAGGTCGCGCCGTTGTTAACTCGCAACAGAACCGGCATGTTTAATCCTCGGTAAATTATTACATTTCCGATGGTCAAGAATAATTAAGGGGGGGAGGCAGCCAATGGACTAAACGCGTCCAAGAGGGACCTTCCGCCGAGGAGACGGAAGCGGTGAAATCAGTTCATGTGCAGCAGGTGCGTGTGGATTGTTACATCACGGCATCGTGTGTGACGTGGCTGCGGCTTGGGGGGGAGGCCTTCATCCAGCAGTGGACTGACCATGGCTGCTGCTGATGATGACGATATTTTACATTACCGCAATTGTCCAATTAGCAGTTGTGACTAAATGCATTCACTTCAGAATCAGAATATTTATTTATACCGGAGCAATCCGATGAGCTATGAAGCTCTTTTTCATCGATGTCCAGTAGGGGCACGGGGTAAGAACATTACAACAACAAACAGTGCAAAACACCATAGTCGTGCAAAGTACAAGGGTAAACAAATCACCCAAACTACACACAAATAAAATTAAACCATCTCCATCCTACCTGGCAAAGCCCCCTGAGGTTTTAGTTTATTTTTCAGAAGCGACCTGGCCACCACAAATGATAGCTCAATGAAGTGGGCCCCATCATCTGGACGTTTGTAGATGATAGCACGAGCTCGGCCAGGTGGATTGTCGCTGCTCGCTTTGGTGAAAGAGTGCGATGTTTTTTTCCTTCAGTGTGTGTCGTCCGTTTTCTTTTCTCGGAAGTTATTTAACCATTGTGCATTTTTGTTTTGTGTGCTTTTTTTGTCTGTTTTTTGTTTACAGCAACCTCATGAAACAATGCCACCTGCAGTGATCGTTGGAGAAATCCAGGTACGTTTTCTTGTTGTCATGTGGAGCGGGTGCAGTGTGCCCTCGCGATTCGCATATTTTTGCGGATAATTATATTGGCCTACGAAAACCGTTTTAATGAATCACATTAAATAAAAACGTAAATAAGCATTCTCTCTCATAAATGTGATCTCATCTCTTTCGTGATGCAGTCGTGTAGAGAGTTCCAGACGCGATTCGTGGATAGCCAAAGTCGCGGACAGCCAAGTTCGTGAATAACGAGGGAATAATGAGAATGCAATGTTCTCTCAATTCATAAATTCATCATCCGAACACGGCTCATGATTGCGGAGTAAGATTCGTTCATTTACCGATTTGCATTGCGTTCGTATTCGCGGTTTGCGTGACCACCGTGACAAAATCGGTGGCCCGAGTGAGTGACGGACGGAGCAATTAGCCCTGCGCAATGCGTCGTTAACGGGGATCATGTCCTCAGTTGTGCCGCGAATGCTATTCCAGGAACACGCAACATGCTATACCAGGAACACACGCATGATATACCAGGAACACACACAGGGGTGCCACGGTGGCGAGATGTTTACTACCTCGCCTGGTATACAGGAAGTCTGTTGGCTCAATCCCGACCCTGACGACACCTGTATATTTGGAGTTTGCATGTTCTCCTCGTGGTTACGTGGATTTTTCTCCCGGCCCTCTAGTTTTTTCCCTCCACACAGAGAATCAACATCACGCGCTTAGAGTGTGTGGCTGCTGTAGATGTCCACGCGATGACGAGCAACTCCGTCGAGCTATCACTTGTGATGGCCAGGTCGCTTCTGACAAAGAGCTACAGAGCTCAGTGCGGTCTTACCTGGTTAAAATACAAAATAGTAGTAAAAATAAGCGTTGTACCGGTGATTGCCTTCAATATATTTCATCCTCCAACTGCTGCGTGCTGACACTGTCACTTTACACCAAATGTGTCTGGTGCTTAATGGAAAACGAGCGGTTACCTTGGTAGCGTGAACATATGAAATTATAGTGCTTGTTTCACTGGCATGAAAGAAAGGATGGTTGTTATTTTTTGGCAGCTTTTTTTCTTCCTTTCCCCTCCCACTCGTCTCGCGACCCATTCTTGCCACGGACGCTGCTTGCCGTGGTGTGAAAGTTAACCCACGGGACTTGCCACCCGGAGGTCACCGGTTCCATCTCCCGACACGGCAGTTGAAACAATGGGAATGTTTCTGATATTCCACGCCCCCCGCCACGTTCGCAGGTCGCGTGTGGCGGGGTAAAGTGTGGGTATTCCCAACTCATCCAAGACGTCTGGCCAGAATGGAAGAGTAGGCCAAATACTTTCTATAGAGAGGCTCGCTAGAGCTCTCCGACAGTGGAGGACCTTCCTGCCAGCAGTGGCGTGAACACAACAGTGTAGAGCTGCAGCGTATTCCTTTTTTCTAAATGGCAGTTTCCATCGGCACCATCTTGGCGCCTGCCATCGCTAAAACCAGAAGCGGTGGCGCGCTCTGCAGGGCTGCAGCCGTCGCATTTTCATCGCCGCAGTCAGCGCCGCACGTTTTGTCGCCACAGTGGCGCAAACATGGTCGTGGTGAGACCATTTTGAGAGAGAGAAAAAAATACATGAAGGTAAATGTGCGATCCATGGCTGCATTGAAGCTTCCAGTCGATGGTTCAGCAACGCGTTTCTAACGTCATATTCACAAAACACGAATCCTGCTTTGTTTAAACCGTTATCGTATGATTCATTCTGCCGGAGCAGTAAGCCTCACATGGTTTCTGCTTCCAAGAAGTCTATTTTCCCCAGCTAAATAAGAATGGACGATTATCAAAAGTTTTCTTTTTTATAACAGCTATTGATGTGGGTCAGTTTGTTTAAGAGATAATTCATAATAACCTTCATGGGTTAGATCAGCGCTATGCATCCTCCACCACCCAACGTGGCCACAGAAGGCAAGTTGTCTCGTGCGGAAAATGCGCCAACGAATTCCGTTTCTCAGCAAACCGGCTAAGTTGAAAAGCAAGCGAAAATTTGACATTTTTTTCGCGCAACTATTTCACCGGAGATTGCAACCAGCATCGTCGGGTGTTTGCAAAAAGCTCAGGCCGCGATCGAACCCAAACCAAAAACAGCGGATGATGAATCGTAGTCTTTGGTCATGAGAGCCTACGGAGGAAACTCTCAGAGCGGCGGAAGGAGCCGTGCGACACGGACGCTTCATTAGCGTCTGCCAACATAGCAGACAGAAAATATCACCCACTGGGGGGTAAATGGCAACCTTTAAGTTTCAGCAAGCAGCGAATCGCACTACATGTCCTGAGCATTGAATAACACGTTTCCTGCGAGCGCATGGACACTGTCAACATTTGTGCGTGTTTGTTTTGTTAATGAAAAAAAAAGTTTACTTTACATTTCTACTAAGCAGCGGTAAGCAGCTAGAGTGGAGCGGTGCTTCGCGTGTTGCGATGAACTCGGTTATCTGAGCGTGATTCCGGACCTTGGCTGACATCTGTGGCGAGTGGAATGTAAACCAATCCTGGTTCCCCCCCACCCCTCCTTGAACTCACACTGACCACTGTGGTCAAGTATGGGCAAACAACCCCCATGATGGACATGGCTTGGTCTGGTCTTCGTGCAGAGGTTCATTGACAAAGGGCTGTGAATTTTTAGTCACAATGTAATTGACTTATATATACATAAAATTAAATTTGAGTGGCCGTTCTATTTACCTGCGTAAGTAGCCCTGCGATACATGTATACTTATTTATATATATATGTCAATTCATCATTTATATTCGTGGTATTTTCTGCTTATTTTTTTAAGGCACATGAAGGACAGCCAAAGCCAGAACTTGGAGAAATACAGGTGAGTATCGTTCACCACGAGTTCCGGATGTTCACAGCTTTGGGGCTAGCGGTCGCCTTGGTTGATGCTGCGGGTGTGTCAACCATCAATAATACCAAGCGCTGTCTGCCTCGGGATTCAAAATAGAAAAAATCCCGTGATGATATTTGGCAGAACTTACCGAACTTGATCAAATATTTGCAAATTACTAAATTTGGAACAAATCCACATAGCGACGTCAGCCCACTCGAATTTCACTCGCAGGCCGGTGCTGCATTTAACCTTGAGCTGCACAGGGACAGCTGCCAGCAGGGGGTTCCCTTTGGATAGAATACATCGGAGTGGTCGAGATTGAGATTTCAGCCGGGTGGTGGTGGCGCTAGCGGAGGGAGCGAGAGGGGTTGGTGGGTCGCCGCACAGATGTTGCGACACTCCCTTCCCCTTGACTGGGTATTGAGGAGGTGCACAACCGGGCTCGCCAGGAGAAGGCGGTTAGAGCAAAACAATGTGGACTCTGCCTGTTCCGTCTGTGCGGGACAGTGCGTTTCCCCACTCATGCTCGTGGGTTTTATCTTGGTGTGCTCCAGTTTCCTCCCATGTGTAAAACATAACCCCTTCATACAGGGTGCTTCAATAGATGTGAACACTTCTGAGAATTTGCAACAATACCACGAGAAATGTGCCTCCGGGCTCTGGAGACCACCTGGAGAAGAGTCTAGGCACGCGTTGACAACGATGGCGAACAAGTGGAGACTCTTTGACTTTTTGAAGCTATTAACATACATTTGATGTCATGTTACCGTGCGCTATCTTTTTTTATTCCATTAAAAACGATAGTCCCATATAAGTTTTAGTATTGTTTTTAAGCACCCTGTATACAAATCCCAAAGTGTAATCGTGCAGCAGCGGTAGTAACAATAACAACAATACTTATTTGCGGAGGCACTCTGGGCATCTCGTAACTGTAAATCCTGACGCCTCTCCCGATGCGACCTTCAGCTGCAGCTGCGGTACGAGGCGGAGGCGGGCGACCTCGTGGTGGGGGTGCTATGCGCGCGTGGGCTGACCGCTCGCAACGGCAGTGGGAGCCTGGACCCCTTCGTCAAGGTCTACCTGCTGCCCGGGAAGGGGTAGGTCTTCTCGTCGGCTGATGCCACGAAATGTTAACCACCTCGCCTGGTATACAGGAGGTCGTGGGTTCCATCCCGACCCTGACAACGCCTGCTGCTGTGTATTTGGAGTTTGTGTGTTTCTCTCCCAGTGGTCGTGTGGATTTTTTTCTCCAGGTCCTCCAGTTTTTCCCTCTACATTTAGAAATGTGCGTTTAGAGTATTTGGTTGCTTGCACTTTCCACACGATAAGCCACTTTGTTGAGCTTTCATCGGTTGACCGGGCTGAGACCATCAACTCACTTTTACCCTATGAATAACCCAACCGGTAATGGATATCCATTGTTATTTATGTGCATACATTAACCCCCCCACCCCCTCCTCTGTCCTTCGCACCTGATTGGCTCACAAGTGACGACATCACCTTTGTCGCTCTATTTAAGACCGAAGCAGGATAGCTCCACAACTGTGGCTGTCGCCTGATGATGCTCATTGTAATTACTGGTTAAACGTCATTCCACTTGTATTGTAAATGTTGTGGGTTTACTCTCCAACACACCGGTGTGCTCAACTAGTAACGAATTGGCATGTTCTGTTTACGTGACAAACCTCGTTAATTTGCCATGTCGGGTGGCGGCGGATTTAACGACACATTTATATTTACGCGATCCAACCCAAACTAACCTCTTACGGATCACTCGCACTTAAGAACCCAGTGTAATCAAATGTGGCCGTCTGGTTTCGAACCAGTGGAAACCCCATCTTTCGCAAATTAATTCGTTTTAAACCCTGCGTTACCTCTTTACCTGTAAGGGTAACAAGGTGCAGCTCTGCAATGCCTTGCCAACACCACTCCTAGAGAATCCTCTCAAGTAGGAATTTGGCCCACTATTCCAAGACCAACAGGACACGTTGGGAGCGGGACTACCCACACTTTACCCCGCCACAGGCGACCTGCCGATCGACTTAGGCTGGCGTGTACCCAGTTGTGCTGCTGGGTAGACAGGGGCGGGGAGATTTAAGAATAACTTGCCCCACTCAGATGGAAGTGGTGACCTCTGCTGACCATTACGGCAGGGCAGCGTGCCCTCTTCACCCGTGCGCTGGTTACCGTATCGCCTGCAGGTCAGAAGTGAAAAGGAAAACCAAGTTCGTGCACAAGTCGCTGAACCCCGAGTGGAACCAAAGCGTTGTATACCACGGCTTGTCCCGTGAAGAGGTGGGTGCAGACACCATCAGCTGTGCCCAAACACTAAATTGTGTGTATGTTGAACTTATTTTGCACTGTACGTAGCCAACCGGGCTAAATAGTGATTGTAAATATATATTTTTTAATTGAAAAATGCAAATGTCTAGGTGGGGCACCATCCGTCATCTGATTCCGTGACCTCTCTATGAACTACTGGGTTATTTCCCCTGCTCCTCGGCTGTGAATTTTCCCTTTAATTAAATTACCTTGACAAAATTGTACCCATATTCTTCTGATGATCGCTTGTGTTGTGATCTAAACGTCGTAGTTTTTTTGTTGATTTTATTTTCATTAATTTGAACCTATCTACGTGACTTTTCTAAAAGACCCAAAGAATATTAATTCCTGCGGTCACGAAAGCTTTAAGTCAAAATTGTACCTTTCGTCATTGGTGATCAGGCTGAGCCGATAAAATGTATTCCTATGCAACAAGAGAAGCACTTTTCCTCGGGTAAGTATTGGGTACTTGGATCTAGGCTGTCTAGGCCTATACTAGGCCTTACAAGCATCGTGCTGTTAAGGCACTCTGCAGCAACCTTCAAGCCGCGCATTGCAGAGCCATATGCAGCTAAATGAAAGGGCACCATGCGCCGCTGAGTCGCGCGCACTAAGTGGACTGACGCGATGCATTATTAACGTTTCATCACGTGGAACCCTCTGCGCTGCGGTAATGAGTTGCGAGGCTTATAATGGCTGTCGTGCTGTGTCAGTGTGTTTCTGAGTGGTCGGGGAAAGAGGTTTGCCATGACGGAGCCATCTAACACGGCCATTCTGTCCCCAGCTGGAAAAGAGGACTCTGGAAGTTGCCGTGTGGGATTACGATCGATTTGCAACCAACCATTTCCTGGGAGAGGTGAGAGTTAAAAGTAAACATTATTTTTCTCTTCTGGCCGAGAAAAGCTGCCAGCATTCAAGTTCGTTGCTGCTTGAGGTGAGCAATGCCCTCTCTGCACCCTGGAAGAGTGGACATCGGTGCGAGGGCTTTCTGTTCCGGCTACGACTGGTACTCGTGTTGCATGAATTCCAAGGTCGAGATGTCGCCTCGTGCCAATGTCATTCGTGGCGCCAACATTCGTTGCGCGAATGGAATAAAACAAAAACATTCCCAAGTCTTTTAGAAGGGTCCCGCAATTGGGATGTTTTGGATATTCCCATTTGGCAGGGTCTGACACGTGGGGCTGGAACTTGGATTGAACAGAGAAAACCCATGCGTACAATTCTACACATGCACCAAAATGGAGTGTGAACAATTAATGTCGATAATACAGATTTTTTTGGATTAGATCGCGTAAATATAAATGTTGTTAAACCCGCCGCCACCTGATATGGCAAATTAGAAAGGTTTGTCATGTAAAAAAATATGCCAATTTGTTACTAGTTCAGTGCACCGGTGTGTTGGAGAGTAAACCCACAACATTTACAATTCGAGTACGACATTTCGACACATTTAAATTTACGCAATCTAACCTGTCATGGATAATATTGGTCACCAAAGGCCTACTGCGTGTGAAATTAATTCCCATTCATATGCGTCATGTTCACTGGGGTCACGTGGCCCCTACGGCAAAAACTGTCCCGTGTCCTATCGGTCCCCGGTTAGTGCACATCAGTGGCTGTTACGTCGCAATGCTCTGATCGCATCCCGATCTAAAAATAAAAAAGTTTTTGTCCCTTGTTAAAAAAAAAACCCTAGTCACACACCGTGTGCAGTATTATAAATAATGAGAATCCCGACACGTGCGTGAAACTGCCCATCCTTTAGACACCCACCATACCGGAGTGTGTATCACATCTCCCCTTGTTTGTAGAAACCACTGGCCTATGGGAAAATAACCTCGTCTTTGGTAGCTAAAGATGTCACATCCATAGAATATGGCTCGTTTATTCAGCACTAATCATCATTAGGCTATTTCCTGCAGCTATGCGGCGCTTAAGTTATAACATTCCAAGTCTTGGAGAATAACGTTGAAGACCAAGGATTCTTAAGGATGTCTTCGTATGGCTCTGTAAGCCTCGTGGAAGAGTATGGAACGGGTGCCTTTATCTGGCAAAGCTGCCAGTACGTGGAGTGTAACGTCGGAAATGATGCTGATTCTGATGCTGAATAATGCGCGGTACAATTCGACCCGAAAACAACATCGCAGCGCTGCACGGCTGTACCACCACAGTAAAAAACCTACGCGGTTCTATGAAACGTGCGCATTAACCATGTGGCCCCACCTTTCTCTGCTGCAGGTGAACATTGCACTATGCAAAGCTTCAAACCTGGACGACACAGCCCGCTGGCACCGGCTCCAGGTGCAGTCGGACAGCGGTGAGCGACGCAAGCGCTCATCCCTGCCACCGGAGGGCAAGCAGCCAGAGAGCAAAGGGCAGCACAGACCAAACTCCTCTCCGGACACCCATGAGTGGGACGTGGCGGACAGGAAGGACTCTCACAAAACGGGCAGCCCGCACTGTGGGGAGCAGGCGAAGAACCCGACGAAGGGCGGCCACTCGTCGCAGGAGCACAAGGCGGACAGGAAGTGCAAGGAGGAGCACGGCGATCAACACAAGAAGGGCACAATCTCGCCGCGGTCACAGTGCGAACGGACGGGGCAGCAGTGTCAGGCCGTGAGTGCAGACAAAACAAACCAACACCAACCCAAGGGCCACCCGGCCGGACAGGCCGAGCACAGCACAGCCCTGCAAGCGGGCGAGCACACTACGAACGCACAGAGATCGCACGTTGCGAATCTGCCGAACAAATGCACGGACAGGACCGACCATCAGGTGACCAGCGGTCAGCAGCACGCGGGCGAGACGCAACCGGAGCCGCTGCCCGCTCGGCACTCGCAACACCGCAGGGCGCAGGCGGAGCAGTGGCCCGCGTGCGGCGCGCCCGAGCCCAAGCCATTCGGGGCTGACGAGGAGCTCCGTCGGCCCGAGAAAAAAGCGCGCTCCAAGACGGGCGGCGAGGCAGAGGCGAAGGAGACGGGGAGGCAGAGCGCTCCGTCGAGATGCTCTCAGGGGGGGGAAGGCGCGGGGCCCAGCAAGGCCGCTCAGGTGGGCGCCGTCGACGCGTGCCCTCACGGGGACGAGCGCTGCAGGGGACCCTGCTCCGCCACGGAGACGGACGTGTGGGTCAGGATGCGGGACAACCCGCAGCCGCTGCACGCCGAAGCTGCACAACTTGGCAAGGCAATGTCGCCGAAGGCTCCGTTCGTCAACGAAAACCACAGGGGGCGACAGAGCGCACCCAAGGCACACCCCGCGTGCCCCAGGAAGCCTGCGAACGCCGCTGGCGAGTGCTCGCTTCACGCAGGCGCCCCATCCGTCACTCCGCCGCCCTCCGACGGTCATCAGCAAGTAGGGACCGTGAGCAAAGCGCACTCCGCTCATCCGCAAATGATGCAGCCCGGCAGGGTGATGCAACCCGGCCTGGCCGTAGTTTCCCAGCAGCCTGAGCGGGTATTGCCTTTTTCACATTCCCATAACGGATACCATCCGTGTTTGAACAAACTAAATATTGGATACCAACACGTGGACAGCAGCAGACCTCACTCGCCCTGCTTGCCGCCCAGCGGAAGACCGCCCCTGCCCACCCCTTCCCCGGACCACTCGAGGCAGCCCCTCTACGCGCACGCGGTGGCGCACCTGCCCAAGGACAGACACTTTGCCGACTACCAGCACGCCGAGCCTCACCACCAGCAGGAGCACTCGACGCAAGCCACCTACCACAAGAAGACGCACATCCCCAGGGCCACGGCCGCGGGCCCCCCGCACCCCGACGCGGCGCGGCAGTGCGCCGCGCCGCCGCAGGCTTCGCGCGAGGAGACGCAGCCTCACCGCTCGTGCGAGCACCTCGCCTCCAGGTCGCCCTCGCATCACGCCGCGGCCGAGCCGGCGGCACGGCCGCCCGCCGTGGCACAGCCCCGGCCAAGGGAATCGCAGCCCCCGCCGCAGAACTCGGTGCAGCAGCAGCAGCTGTCTCAGCAGCAGCAGCAGGCACAACATCAGCACCAAGTGCACCCTCAAAATCAAGGCCAGCCTCAGCAGCAAGTGAACCCAGATGGCGTGAAACCATCGGTTAAAAGGAAGCCACTGCTCGGTGTCTCTGCTGCCAGGAAAGGTGAACTCTCGTTGGCTTGTTGGCCAAGTTGCTGAGTCGTTGTGTCAGGCAGCTGCGATTTAGCGCCCACTTTTAAAGTACAGACAGTCCCCCGAGATTACGGACGTCCGCACTTACAAACAACCGCACTTAACGAACGAACCGCCATGAGACGTTATTCTTTTAACCATCCGACTTGCGAACGTTCGGTCATAACTTACGAACCATACCACCGCGAAACTATTTTGTTCGGCAGAGCGATCTTCCGGCGAGATGAAATGAGTCCCAGCATCTCGCGGGATGCGCTACGACAGTGAACCGTTCAGCGCCATTTTTTGTATACTAAACATCGTGCTCTGTGTTTGTGCTATGCATGCTTTTCGATATGCTTTGTGACGCTCATCACGTCTGACTGTGTGTACAATCTGATGTCGAGTTCCGAAATACGAACAAATGGACTTAACAAACGGGTCTCAGTAACGGTAACCCGTTCATAAGTCAAGGACTGCCTGTCAATACTTTATTGGATTTATTTTTACACGCACGTTTCACGCTTGTGACCATTGCACACAATTACAATTTCCGTATGATAAATTGTCAATATTTCACACAGTTGGATGCCCTTTTTCAAAATATGAATCATTTTACATTGATTATAACTGACCATTCCCCCCCCCCCCTCAATCTCATTTGGAAATTATTAAATTATTTTATTTTTTGCTACTTATAGCATGTTGGAAAAGCTATCTGAATTTTGTTCTAAAATAACTGATCATACTTACTTTACACTCTATTGTAGAGTTTATGCGACACTATAAATACCTTTATCGTGTTTACAATATATAGGAAATATTTGTGTGAGTAAGTAAGCTAAGAGCAAGTAAACACATTTTAAGGATGAATCAGAATTACGCATCACGGTAAAAAACTCTTTGGCCAGTGTCGCAAACACGCCGCCGCCTCCACATGAATCGCTTTCACGATGTTGACGTTCACCTACAGACATGAAACGAAATGCCCTTCCCCAAACTGACCGCTGTTGGTTTTGGTTCTCTTGTTTGTAGCAACTCAACAGTCATCTTAGCCATCCCTGCAGCTTGACTGTGCGGGGGTGGGGGGGAGCTTCACAGGCAGGCTCCGTCTGAACAGCATCAGCAGCAACGCTCCGCTGCGAGCGGTCCTAACCCATCCTGCACGGGACCGCCTTGTCACGTGGCCTCCAAATGTTCGCATCACGCGGTCACGCAGTGGCTCTTCAGCGTAATCCCGCGACTACACAGAGTTGTGCCTAATACCCCTTTTCCACTGGCACGTCTGAGCATGGGCCAGCATGGGGGCCCTCACGGTATCGGTGGTTTTCCATCGACTGCATGCTGAGCCGAGCCAGAACCAAAACCGTGACACACACTGGCCTCGCGATACATCCGAGTCCGGCTGAGAGCCAAGCAGGGCCAGGGGCGGAGGTTGATCATATTCATCGAGAGTTGAGTCAGCCGGGCTGTGACTTGAGTGATCGATCTCCCTCGTGTTTGCCTTCCGCTTAGCCTTGAATCGATTCTCTCCGCAACCGCATTGCCATGAGCTGCTTCACCGTCGATCCCTTAACCTCGTCTCAATTCGTCAGCGGCATATCCCGTGGTTCTGCAATGGGGGAACAAACAACCTGGTGAGTTGCGATGTTGCTGGGCTTGGCACGGCACCGCCTCGACGTGGCTCGGTTGTGCAGTGGAAAAGCGTTACTCGCTATACTTCACCACTCCTACAGCCCCCAAGCTGGACCGCAAACACAACCACCATCACCACCATCACCACGGCTGTCACCGTTACCTCCAGCTCCCCCTGCCCAACCGCTCGTGGACTGGTCGAGGAGGATTTTAGACCAAGTGGGTCACGTAAAGAACCAGCGACTGGGTCACTCGCGGTGGTGACCTCCCGAGGACGCACAACGAGCTTCACCAGAAAAGGGCCCGGGGTGCCACGATGGTCCCTCGGCCACACCACACTTTGGCTCGCTCGGCTCGTTGGTAGAGTGGGTGGCCTTTCTATAGCCGTGTTTACACCCCCCCCCCCCAACATCCGGAAGGGGCATGGTAGGCTCACTGAGGTGTGGAGCATCCATCCCTGGTTAGCTGTCCCACTCGGTCGTGCCCAAAGCCACCACCGGGGCCTAAATGTCCAGGCTGGCGAGGCTTGTGACGTCACCACGCTATCACGTGGCCGGCGGGCGGGGCAGAGCCGCGCGGGACAAACACACGGCCCTTGCTTTGCGACAGGCACAACGTAATTAGCAACACATGCCGTAGCGACTACACGTGCAAAACACAACGGGATACAACGTTAGATAAAACCCCAAACATTTAGCGACAAACGAAAACGTCGAAGTGCTCGGTTTAGACAAGGACAGTGACATCATTGCATTGCTTCCCGAGCAGAGCCTCGAGTGGACCAATCAATGGCAGTGTAAGCTGGGGAGTTGGCCTGCCTGGTTTGCTAGGCCCCGGTCGCTAACGGGGAGTGAGTGCAAATACGGCTTCTGTGCTGTCACCTTTTGAGTTATGGGTGCTGGTAAAATTAGACGCTGCATTGGAGTACCGTGACGGGACACTGAAGTCGTCGTGTCACTTGAGTGGTTGGGGCAGTGGTTGGCGTGCATACTGCAACCCCCGGCGGTGCGAGATGCCCTTTTCTGGGGGTGCGAGACATGGCCAGTTTGTTTTTAGAAGCTAAATAATCGAAAACACAAATTTAGCATGGGCACGCAAGTACAACTAATTTGTTTCATTAAACCTATGTGCTTATTAACAGTGTACACTTTTTTAACGATAGAGTACGAAAGGGTGCAAGTCTGCAGTCAGCTAAGGTGAAGAACCACTGGGTTAATGGAACGCACGCTCCAGCACGTCCAGAATATGCAAATCGCGAGGAAGGACACGAGGCGGAAGGGGCATGCAGAATGGAGGCCATTTCGACGAAACATTCTCAAGCAGCTGAGTCGGCAGACACATTTTAGAACGGTGACAATAACCAGGTCCTCGAAGACAACAAAAGCAATAGCTACCTGTGATTTTAAAATGCCCGATGTCAATGGCACACACACACGGTGTACAGTATATATCTCCCTTGCCATTGTAGGGGAAACGTTTTTAATAGCACGGGAAAATGAAACAACAGCGGAGTTGCCATCATCAGTCTCCGGTTGGAACGTGTTTAAGTGTTACTACTACTACATATTCGTCTCTCTTCGCTTTAGCGTGGAGAAGTATGCACACACGCACGTGTGCTTAACGCAGACTTGATTCCTTGCAAAATGTATCCGATTGGTGTTGGAACATCTGAACACCTGCTGCTTTATTGGCAGGAAGGATAAAACGTGTTCTTATTTTTCGTACTTTGATACTGGAAAAAAGGGTCGCGTGATTTAGCTGCTCACCCCGAGCTATAGATGCTCTGACACGCGTGGCATTGCCTTGGTGCTGTTCGACTTTTGGCGTCCTCTGGTCTGACACTGGTGGTGAGACACGGCCATAAAGAAGGCTGTCTCTGGTGTAGGCCAATCAGTTTAAATGACAATGCAAATATATTTATCAGCGCATGTTTGTTTGCATGTTCACCACGATTACGCGTTGTTAATGCAGACTTGATTTCTTGCAAAAGGTTTTTTTTTGGCGTTTGAACATCCTAACACCTCCTGTTCTATTGCCAGAAAGAGTAAATCCCTATTCTTTTTTTTCACACAGATTATTAATTTGATGTCGTGTGACATGCAAGCCTCAACACGCTTCACGTGTGCCATGACGCTGTGTATCGATGGACGTGGTCAGGCGCGACTGATTGTTTAACCCACCGTGCTCGTTGAACAGGGTCGGGCCACACAGTGGAGCGCAAAGCGTCATCCGCGTGCGTGGCCCCCTGCCGCGTCGAGAACAAAGTCCCCGCGGCACTTTGCGAACGCAGTTCCATTGTCAAAACATCCTGACTGCCTCTTGTACCATCTACAGGCCATGCATGTTTTTTTTTAAAACACTCTACTGCCCAGCCTTTATTACTTTTACTAAAAACAATAATATGACTTTACAACTTCTTAGTCAAATGAAAATCAAACGCAATTTTAGAACTTTACACTGCTGTTCGGAACCATGTGCAGTTTCTGCCCGTACAACACGCGGTTTCACTCTATGATACAAGCGATGTGTTTGACGCAGACACGTGTACATGCAAGCGCAGCTGGTCAAGTCGACTGCCAGATGAAGGCTTCCCCAACCACGCCTTGCGGGCCGCGAGGCATATTTGACCATACTTCACCACGCTGGTCAGTGCAGGTCGGTGAAGCTTGTTGGGGCTGAAGAGAGTGGATGATTTGCTGCACTGCCCCTCTGCTACACGCAACTGCCACCTGTTACTGCACCCGGCCATTACGCGAATTGGTCGCCCATCCAAGCACTATCCAGGCTCAACCGCTGCTTAGCTTTTGAGATCTGACAACGCCTGACATGCTGTCACACGTAACATTCAATCCACGAGGTGTCTCCCACGTTCATCTGCAATGACGGCTCTTGAGGCAGTGGTTACATTTCCACATTCTCATGGCAGGGGACACGTCTGCTCAAGGATTAGAACCATTTAACATTTCCCCTCGGCTCGAGGCGCAGTTGTCGGCACGCTGAGCTTGCAATCCCAGGTCAGTAGAAACCAAGGGGGCAGATGTCTGAAATCTCCCTGCCGTGTCCACCCAAGCGCCACAAATAGGGACTCCGCCACCGTGAGTCTGGCGGCGGGTGACGATGTGAATGGGGTAAGGGGCCGTCCATAAATGTCGTCACACACCTAGGGGGGAAGGGGGGTCAGGCATTTGTGAAGATGTGTGACGAGGGGGGGAGCGGGGGTTTGAGAAATGTGACGTCACATCAAAATGCGCAACTTTAAATAAATATAAACAATATTGTTATAATAATACTACTTTTGATTAATTTTCATTATTAACTATTTGATTATTTAAATTTAATAAGGTCACCCTTTATTTATTCCATGAAGGAACATTTTGCTTCTCCATGGCAGAATGGAGAAGCATACATTTTGTAATTTTTTTAATGATTGTTATTAAAAATTTGATTCTAATGATTCTAGCAGGGCTTTTCATTCGGTGGAATGAATCTGTGATTGTTATAATTGTACTCTCCATTTTTCTTCGTTTTATTACAAAGTTTAAAGTATTTTTGTTATAGTTATAATTACTTTTATTTATTTTATAATTATAAGAGAATTTCAATATCATATTCTGAACATCTGTAGTTTTAGTTAGACGTTTAATATTTTAAAGTGAATTTTATGCTAAATTTCAGCTTTCCAACGCCTTTTTAGTAGACGTTTTCTCCTACAACACCAGAGTGCAGCGCCACATTAAATACGCACTACAATGACAATAGTTTAAAGCGATTTGAAGCATGTTTTATTTTCAAAATGGAAATATGGTTTGGAGGGAGGGGCAGAGCTCTGTGACGTCATATTTAAGGGGGGTCTGACTTTTTGTGACGCCGTGTGACGAGGGGGGGAGGGAGGGGGTAAAAAATCGGCCAAAATCGCGTGACGTCATTTATGTGCGGCCCCTAAGGTGTGGGTACTCCCACCCCCTCCGCAAGATGTCTTGGGCAGCATCTAAGAGGCGGTAAAATAGTCTCGGGGGGGGGGGGGGGTGGCTCTGAGTCAGAGATCATCACTCGAGTGTCGGCCGTTGTGCCAGCAAGTGGCATTGGCGAGTAATTGCAGGGCTGCACCTGTTACCCATTGGTGAACAACATTCAAGGGGTCGTTGTTGTCCTTCGAGGAGAGTTGGCACGTGACGAAACAAACTCGAGACGCTCGTGAATAGCACGTGAGTGTGTGGCGTGTGTCCTGAAAAGGAACACAATGCGAAAGGCGACGTTTCAGGCAACGGCCCTTCGTCATTATCTGCACATCGTGTGCCACACACGCACACTCGCTGTGTGCTTCGTTGCCTGTGCTCCTCTGCCTGAGCAGTGTCAGCACGTGACGCACGTGCACTGGTCGTGCAGGTGCCCAGCGACTCGCTGCAGCGCGAGGGGTCACGTGGGTGAGCAGTTCCAGCGGGACTCGCTGCTGTTGAACGCAGCGATTCACTAAAGACAACCGGGACATTCAAACCAATTGTGTCATCCCTTTAACTTACACAGGGCGGACTGAAAGCTTGCCTTGAGTCCATTGTGCAAAGTATACGATGGACTGATCGGGGAGTCATTTGCATCGAGCAGTGGGTAGATATTGGCTGTTGTTGTTGATGATGAATCCACTGCTGGACCAAGGCCTCACACCATCCTGTGTTGGTGTGATGGGGGTCATTTCTTGTTGCCATACTTTGCCACGCTGGTCAGTGTGGGATGGTGAAGGGTGCACCCAGGACCGGGTTCAGGAATCGCTCGCTCCCAGAAGGTCACCAGGCATCAAACTTAGGTGGCTGCGTTCATAGCGCAGTGGGCTAATCGCTGCGCCACCGCTCCGCCTGATCGCACTTAGATGTACATAGAGACGTATTTGTGATATACTTGCCTACAGTGCAATACGCAGAATTTTTATTAATAAAAATAACAAGAACATTTATCTTTGAAAGAAAGTGGAATTGTATTATATACAGTACAGGGCGATCCGCTTATAGATACCCCACTGAGATAATACGGAGAAATGTACTTGGGTAGAAAAAAATATGAAGTTGCAAAGCCTCTATCCATCTTCCAAAAATCTCGACCCTCCTCTGTTGCATGTGGAGAGAGCATCAATCAATGTTGAGAAGTACAGGGACTCCTCTACTTATGAACGTTCGACTCACGAACTTTCAGAGATACGAACAAATCTGTCCGTGTGTCCAGTTGTCTGTTCGGATCGAGCGTCGTAAGTTCAACCGCCGCGCAATAGATGGCGGCGGTGGCATCTGCATCTACAGAACGTTGAGAACCAGTGGCATCTGCATCTACAGAACGTTAAGAACCAGTGGCATCTACAGGAGATTAACAACTTTTAAAGGTATTCTCCATGTTTAGTTCCGTAAAACGTGTTTGGAATCGACGGGAGTCAAGTTGGACTTAGGAACAAATCGACGTACAGACAGACCTCTGGAATCATTTTCTTGGTTCTTTCGGTACAGTCACGTAGAAATAAAAATAATAAAAACAAATAAAATGTATTATGTTTTATTTTTATTATTTTATTATTTCCCTTCTACGTGACTTTACCGAAAGAACCAAGAAGATGAATCCCTGCAGTCACGAAAGCTTTACATCGAAATTTAGACATCTGGAACCTAACTCGTTCGTAAGTAGAGGAGTCTCTGTATGATGGTAATTATAAATCGGTGGGGCATAAACATATCGATCACCCTGTATAAATACGGTATATATCTAAAAAATAACCCAGTGGGTTTTCCAAATCAGTGTTTTCTAGTGGCTTTTAACGTGTCTGCCTTATGCAGCCTTTAACTTAAATATCTCCGGAAACACTAAGTTTCTTAAGTCGGTTCCACACCTGAGCGATTAGTTTCTGCAACGTGGTTGCATGCAACTGAATCGCTTGTGTATGGAAGTCTCTGCAACCGGTTGCTTACGATGAGGACAGGACTCTCCGACAAAGCATCGATCTTCCCCGGTGATCTGCCAGCGGCGTATTTCACCACGCACCCGCACACTCGTCGGCCTGCGACTGGTCGTTGCCATCTGGGAACGCGTTGCTGGAGTGCACGTTGCGTGCAACTCTTGGCCGAGATGTGGACAAAAGCGGCCTTTTGCGGGCGATTCATGTGTGGGAGCCTGCTTTGATCTGCGCCAATGGCTCACCTGACACGGATGGCAGCCCGTCCATTGAAGAGGCCAAGTAGTGACCAGTGAATTAGATGAGCCTTTATCAGATCGTATAATTGGTTACATTATTGAAAGTGGAAAGGAATATATGTTTATTTATATTTAGACTCCGAGCTATGGGCAGTTTTGTTGTTGTTACAGCAGCTTTGATGTCAGCAGTCTCGCCCAAATGCAATGATTGCAAAATAAATGCGTACAGCTAGTGATTCGTTTTATACTGCGTCGTTCACGCAAATTGCATCTCCACAATCGTTGGAGGAACCACAGACCAAGCTGGAAAGCTGCCAGGTGGTGAGCCTGTGCCAACAATTGCTTTGCGGTTCTCTATATATTAAGATGTTTTCAGCGAATTAGCGAGTGTTGTTTATGCACGTGAGAGGGTAACCGTCGCACCTAGAGAGAGAGAAAAAAAATCCAACGCATGCAAAGGAGCAACGCTGTATCCCATCCGGAAGGGACAGACTATCAGTCCACACTTCGCTGTACTGCCTTCTGCTGGCAAGCCGGGGTATTGCACCTCAACTCCACGAACCGTCAATTCTCCACAGTGCTGGATCACAAGCGGCATAGCCACGGCGCAAAAAAAATGTTTCTATTGTTCACGCAGAATCTTACGCAGAGTAAACATTAAAGGCATTTTCATTCTTTGTCAACCCTCTACATTTAAAGATAAGTACCGCTTGGCGCACCAGCTCTCTAAATACAGATTAGAAACAAGATCTGTCGGCACACGCTCAGTTTTGAAACAATTATGGGTCCAATGCTTCGCGACATCCCTGACTATGAGCGATGCGACACAGTCGTGTGCAGGGCACACCGCAATCTCTGGCGGGTGACGACAGTTAAATGTCACACCACGATGTACTGGAAGCACCGAGATCCATATGAACCCAGTGTTGTGTTTGAATAGCTCGTAGTGATCAACAATTACAAAAACAATGGCCAAGACACATCGACTATTTTGGGAACACTTCCACAATGTTGGATGAGATGACGGAAGTTTGGGTTTCATCAATCTCGGCCCAGTGAGCTGCCACCGCTCCCGAGTGTCTGAGCAAGCTAAAGAGGCATCGTGTTTTCGCCCATCATGCCACACAACCCTGTGGCATGGACTTCGTTTCAAGAGGGCAAAATGAACCTGTTGAGTAACGATGTGAAATGCGGTGCTTTTTCTGGAAGACTTTGCGGTTTTTTCCAGGATTTTTCTGTTTGCGTGATGTCACTTGAAGATGTTTCTTGTTCATGTTTTTGTTTTGTTGCGGTTGCACCCGCATGGCTCACATGGTTCTACCTAATAAATAAAACTGAAACCCAATAGGTTCGTTGAGGGCCAATCGTCGCTTTGAAGGTACCTCTCTTAAAGCCGCAGGACCTCCTGTACGCAAAAATTATCCTCCCATTGCAAAATTGTAAAAAAAATGTAAGTGGATTAAACGCGTAGGCTTTCGCGACCAATTTTATTCATGATAAAGGTTTTTGGGGTTAGATCGCGTAAGTATAAATGTGTGGTAACGCTCCACCACCCGACACAGCCAATAAGTAAGGGATTTGTCACATAACCAAAACGCCAATTAGTTACTACTTCAGCTCACCGGTGTGTTGGAGAATAAATCCACAACATTTACAATTTGAGTAGTACGACGTTTCCCTGGTAATCACATGCTGGATGTAATTACCATCGAAACGTCGTACTACTCAAATTGTAAATGTTGTGGATTTACTCTCCAACACACCGGTGGGCTGAAGTAGACACTAATTGGAGTTTTGTTTACGTGACAAATCCCTTACTAATTGGCTGTGTCGGGTGGTGGAGGGTTACGACACATTTATACTTACGCGATCTAACTCAAAAACCTTTGTTATGAAATGTTAGTGGGTTAAACAAAAAGCACAAATGTGAACCGTCGTTACTTTTTGAACGTGATGAGCAGCAGGAAAAGCCACATTGCTCATCGAGATACGGTTCGTCAGAGAAGCATAATTCGCACAACAGTACCATCCGCGTAGCAGTCCCGGGGGCAGTATAATTTCGTACGTAATGTTTTCGGTTCTATAATACCAATAATTACAGCTTATTATACGGCAACATTTCATCATAGAATCAATGGGGGGGAGTGGCCGAGTCAAAATATGGAATGCAGTGATAGACACAGAGAAACAAATGGACAACCCTTCCTTTTTTTTAGATTTGAAGCTTTCGTGACTGCAATGATTCATATTCTTAGGTTTTTTCGGTAAAGTCACGTAGGTCAAAAAACATTAAAAAGTAAAATAAAATAAAAATCACGACGTTTCGGAGGCAACACAAGCTTCCGTCTTCAGGTGGTATACAGCTGTCGTGGCTGTGACGGTACCACCTGAAGACGGAAGCTTGTGTTGCCTCCGAAACGTCGTGATTTTTATTTTATTTTACTTGTTAATGTTTTTTGACCTACGTGACTTTACCGAAAAAACCTAAGAATATGAACCCTTCCTTTGTGCCACGTGCAAACTATGTTCACAGGGCCATAAGTACGGAGATCCCCCCAGGAGTTGCAAAGGAGTGCCTTTTTATTTTATTGCGGTGAATTAAAATGACAACGTGCCAAGCGATCTGTATTTAGGATTTTGACTTGATTTCTCACTTCCGCCATTTGTTTTAAACGCATTCCAGAAATTGCTTTGTGGATTACAGTTGTACGCGCGGATTTTTGATATTTTTTCATTCGCTGTACAGCAACTGTGACGTGCCCGCATTGTGACGTCATTGCGTCTGCAGGACGCGCCGTCGTGGTGATGTCGCTTCTTCTTCACGTGGTCCTTGCAGTGGAGAATTGGTGCATCCCAGAATCACGAGTCATGGAGAGACCTCTCTCTTGAGCTCTCTTTGTTATCGCAAGATGTGCCGTGACTCACCACGGGCAAGTGAATCCAATGTGCTTAAGAATATGTTTTTTCGTAAATTATATTGTCATTATTTTTTTTGCCATGCGTGTTAAATTAGCCTTGGCCAGGTAAAAAACAACAACTCAGGTCGCCAGGTTCATAGCCACCACCGCCGTCTCTCTCCCCATAATGGATTATTACCCTCTTGTAAACCTGAAAGTGGTTTCATAAACACAACGCAGGAACATTCTTAAATTGAGTTCACAGTGGAAATAAATGCAGCAACATCTTTAAAAATAGCTGGAAAAGTGGTTTGCAAAGTGGTTTCAAACATTGCTGATGAGCATGATTTTAAGCGTTAAAGACACACACCATGCACAACTTCAATTTATGTGTGGTTTTAACAAAGAAAGAAAAATATCCTATGGCTACTACAACTGGAACTGATGGTACCGCAGAAATAATTTGGTGAGACAACGCCGTAGAGGCAGTACAACATGCGCGGATTTGCGTGATTTTTTGTTCGTTTATGTACATAAACATTTTCTAAAAAGCAATGTTGACGACTAGCCATTACACATTGCAGCTAACGTGGATGTCGACTTTCCACCTAATGCCAGTGATTCTGACTGTTATAGAACCGGCACGGAGACATCGGCGGAGACGTTTTGTTGGCCTTATGCGCATCTGCGACGCCGGGGGGCATTCGCGTCTTTCGGCAACGGTAGCGAGCGGAAATGTTACGAGGTGCGCGATGTCGCTTTTTAGTCGTAAACCACCGCACCAAGGAAATGAGTCTCCCTACCCGCGCTTGGCTATTGAGTCCCGCTGCGGAGAGGGGGGGGTGCAGAACGACGGGCTTTGCCACGTTGCTGTGAGCGAGCTCTCGGGACAAAATCATGGAAGCACCGCCATTGGCGCGCGCGCGCGTTCCCCCTTCGCCTGTATTTACCTAGGGACCGCGCTCTTGGTGCTTGTGCATTCTGCAGGCGAGGAAGGATAACGGCCACGTTTTCTCGGAGCCAAGTGTAGAGAGAATTGTGCGTCGAGAGGTACGGCGAGTTCTGGTTTTGGCAGGACATCTGGCGAGGTCGCGTTCGATTGCGTCGATTGCTGTTTGCGGGCGAGAGAAGAAGAGAGGAAGGCTGTTGATGTGCGATGTAACGGGGGTATTTGCAAGTAGTCCTTGTGAACGCATTGCAAGGATTAATTTTAAGAACACGGTTTCGCGATGAAGTGTCAATTCGAGAGAGTGATGTTCTCAGATGTTGTAAAGGCCCATGGTGACCTTGATGCAGTTGGTATTGTGTGGAATCATTCATTTGGGGGATGGGGCGATTATGTGAATACACATTTGACTGTAGTCTGTGATACATTTGAATGATTATTCATTTGAATACACAAATTTCTATGCATACTTTGACAACAACAACAACAAATGGTTAAAAGGTGTATCCTCTACGTGTCGTGTTTGTTGAAATGCTTGCAAGAATTGTAACAAAAAAATATTCGATGTTTAAAAATGTTTGCATAAATACCATCCGATGTCTTCATTCACCACCGCATTGTGATACGTCCACCCTACATGGCCCATGAATAATGTATTTACTTCGTGTAGAGTATGTCGCCATACTGAGTAACGTGGGACATTTGATATGTTAAAGAGGCCGGTCTATAAATTAATATTTGTGGACTTGTTATGTAGGTGTCTGAGTTTTATTTAAACGGGAGTGCATTTATGTGACACGTCACATCTGATGTGAGAGCGATCTTTAAGGACACACTTATAATTTATATAATTTGTGACAATAAATGTATAAAGTTGACCATTTTTCAATGACAAAAAAAAGAATGTCTCTGAAAAGCATCCATGTCTGGAATTACATTCTGAAAAGCTGACGCGTGTTTGTGCGTGTGCATTTGTTGAATGGTTGGAGAGGTGAGTGTGTTTGCTTCTGGCTTGCACATGTTCGCGGTTCAAAACTAGCAGCCGCACTGGTTAATAATGTGGATGTGATGGACCATACATATGCATAATTTGCATTACATTAGACACGAATTATCCCGTAATATTATACTATTTTTTTACTTAAAATTTGTTTTATTTGCTTGCAAATTACATTTTGGCGACGCACCGTTGCACCCATACCGGCTGACCGATGTGTCCACTGGCAGGCCGTGTTGCTGCACGCACACACACTCTGTGCCACACCAGAGACAGCTGCCAAACACGCGCCGATTTCTTCCAGCTGCACCTCATGGCCACCCCCCACCACCATCTCTCTTGGCGCTCTTGGGGAGCAGGTCAAGTGGCGTGGGAGCCACGGTCCCAAGTTGACGAGGTTGAAAGATGGCCTCCGAAGTTTTAACTTCATTTTAAAAACGCTGAAGACAAAATCACCCTCTTTGGCAAAATATTGCCCGTTAAGTGAACCATAGCGCATTCGTGATTAGAATTAGGCAATTTGTTTTCATTGAATTTGCGCGTTTGTGTTTGCCTTGTCAAAATGTCTCTGCTGCCACGACGCACGATGGCCACCACTGACGATGTGGATAGGAACGAGAGCGGACAGCTTCCAGCACGACCAAGCGTGACCATTCTCATGCATCTGCAGTGACTGTCGCCACTTACACAGCGAGACTCAATAATGCCTCCTTAATATTAGAGACAATGGATTCGACAAAATCGCCCAGAATGCGCCCAGCCTCGTCCGCTATTGGAAGCTAAACAAGACCAGACGATGGGTGACAACGTGCACAGTGCAGGTGGTGTACACGTGTAGACACGCAGGTAACACGTGTGTACACGCAGGGCACACGTGTGTACACAAACACACACACTGAGCTCTCGCTATGAATTTGAATGGGCGCTATTAACACAGACAGCGTTAATTGCTTAGCGCGTCACGCGTCACGTGCTTAACAATCATCGGACGAGTTGATTTGCACGGGGAGTCGCGTGGGTTGTGGGGGTCGGGAGGCTGCGCTGGGGCCGCGTGACCTGAAGAGGGCGAGGCGGCACCACCGCAGGCACCGCTCTGCCGCATCTGCGCCGTCTCGCGTCCATGCTCCCCCCGCCTTCAGCAACCGGTGCCGACCAGCGTGACGTCAATTTCAAGGACAGTGCATACATTATCAGTTATGTTTTTTGTTTGCATTCCGATTGCAGGTATTGTGGTCAATGCAAACATGACGCCTTGTAAAAAAAGGTGTCAGTTTTGTTGGCAGATCAAAGGGTAAAAAACAAATTATCATATTTTGCTACTGGCAAATGAGGTACCAATGGTGGACAGCTGTTGGCTGTGCCGGTCGACGCCGCCTGTGCAACGCGGACAGGGTCGTGTCTGAGACGGGTCGTGCAGCAGCGGGGTCGTGAGGGAGAGGGGCCCGAGTGGTGGCGTGAACTCGACAACAATAAAAGGGGAGGATGGTGCCTCCTGTGACTACCGCGTCTCCGACTGAGTGTTTGTGCGATGCACGCCACCCGCACGCACACACAAGCCTCGAGCAAGAAGGAATAAGAGACCTACGCCACTAGATAGGTATGAATTAAGAAGCAATACCAACGGTCGACCGATCGATGCGCGTGCTCAGTGATAATAACACCTTTCTGCTCCTACGCAGAAGCCTCGGCCCACAAATGGGACAGAAGCAGAGCCACGCCAATCAACATCAATCAACTCCACCCACTGCTGTAGAGATATTTCAACTATGTACTGCAAAGGCGATGACATGGATTTCGGATTAACCGGAGCAACATATTTGTTCGGTTTAAGCATGTGACTTGTAATACAATTTCCAAGAATAACAATATACAACTGTTTTTAAATTATTAATTTGGCCTTAACGGAAAAATCCACAAGTGAATAATGTGCGTCATAATCTCTGCAGATAATTATCGATCATAATCGAGTCTACTGTATTTAAAATATAATTTCGTTAGCGGCTTGGCAAAGCTTGCAGGATTACAGCGACACGCGCGCACGTGCTGACCGGATCCTCAGCGGGCCTTCGGAAAATAGACAATGCTCTTGTACCGTTGGAAGCAATATATTATTTATTATAATGAAATACACCGGGGTTTTTGTTGTTGTTGTTTTATTATATATTTAAAGTGAAAGGTCGTTTAAATCCTTATATTTAAAAATAAATCTGCAGTCTATCTGCAATACCATCGAAACACAAACGCTTGGAAGAAGATCATCACCTGGTTACGTTGAATGTCACGCACAAATTACTGTATGCACACCAAGAATTGAAATATTGTATACAAATAGTGGTAATTACTGCGTGTGTGTATATATACCGCACTATCCTTCGAAGGAGGTTACACGACTGGTATATCACGACTTAAAATACTGTGACGATGTTACGATTAAAGCATTCCACGATATTAAATAAATATGTGGCACTATATGTTTCATCGGTTTCAGCCCCATAATGCAATAGGATAGAAAAGTGTATATATTTGTTTAAAATAATAATAATGATCGTCATAATGTGAAGAAATATATAATTTCAACAGCAATAATTTTGCATTAAGCTCATTGTGATGCACGGTTGACATTCACGTGGATTAATCGAGTTAATACTTTACACAAAATGTTGTTGTATATGCTTACAAATAACTTTATAGGGGCTGTTGTTTCATTGGGAGCAATAATTAAACGGCAATTAAATTCAAAACATGGAAAGGGAATTGAAGAATGAAGGTCTACGCATTGCCTGGGGTCCTCCCTCAGATACCGTAGCAAAACTTTTACTTATAATAGCCCAATGACCTCACGTGTTTTCATGAGCCAGTAAAACCTTTGACCTCTTAAATATCTTGATTCAAAAACGGCATGCAGGAGGGCGATAAAACGCATTCTTACAATGTCAATAAAAAACCTGCTATGCAGTTCAAATGCATGAATAACAAAACAAAAAGGAACCCTTTAGTCGAGGGGAAAACAGAAGTAAATACTGCAGTTTCACAAATTGACTATAGCCATGGTGAAATATTACACGTGTGTTGAATGCGGTGCACCATCGGCTAAATCCGTAACGTGCGCCTGAAGTTGAAAACGCGTGGAACCTGTCGCGGTCCGGTAAAGCTCGAAACATCACGAGATGATGCAATTCTTCCCTTTCTTCCTGCGCTGAAGCCTGCGGTGGTTGGGCGTGTTGGGCAAGTAGGGCCTGTGCAGGAACTGCGGGGTTCCCAGTGGGTACTGGTGAGAAGGACTCGTGGACTGCGGGATCGGCTGCCCCATGAAGTACCCCTCCTCGTCGCTCTCCGACGACGACGAGGAGCAGGTGGAGCACCAGTCGCCGTCCGGCACCCTGCCGTCGTCGTGGCCGTAGTCGCTGTTGTACTTGAAGCTCTGGAAGCGCTGGGCGGCCTGGGGGTCTTGCAACGCGAACTCCGAGAACGTCCTCCCGCACGCGCCGTACGCGGGCGGGCGGGTGCGCTGCTGCAGCAGCAGCAGCTCCGAGTGCTCCTGCAGCTGCAGGGCCAGCTGCTGCGCCCCGCCGGCCTTGCGGCTGCCGCCTCCGCCGCTGCGCCGCAGCGCGGCGAGCAGCGCGTCGCGGCCAGTCGCGCGCACGCCCCCCCGCGGTTCCCCGCCAAGGTTGAGGGCGTTCTCCGAGCGCGACATGCGGGACCGCCGCGAGCGGTGCTGCTGCTGGCTGTCGTCGCCGCCGCCGTCGTCGTCGCGGTGGCGGTGGTGGCGGTGCCGACGGTGGTGGTGGTGGCGTTTTCCGTTCCAGCCCTCGAAGGCACCCACGTCGCGCCTCCTCATCTGCTCGCTCATGGGCGCTTGGAAGGGGTCGACGCCGAGGACGGCTCCGTCGCCTGGCGCGTAGCGGGGAGCGCCCGCGCCTTCCGCCTGCGGGCGGCGCGCCGGTGCTCCTGGCGCGGGAGGGTCGTGGCGCTGCGCGGGGCGGGCGCCGCGGAGCGACTCGGAGCTGCGGCAGCGCGCGCCCAGCGCCCGCCGTGGCCGCGCGAGCTGCAGCTGCAGCGGCACCGGCGCCGGGGCCTGCAAGTCGAAGAGGCCGTAGGGCGGCGGCGTGCAGGCGGTGCTGTGCAGCGAGTCGGAGCTGCGGCAGCGCGTGGACGAGCTGAGCGTGCCCACGTTGCTCGCCCTCTCCGAGCCGTTCATTCCCGAGTCCTTGCTCAGATCCGGCATGGAAAACTTGGAGAGCCTCTCGTGCCGACGGCCATCCTGTCCTGCGGGCGCACCTTGACACGGCGCCAAAGACAACAACGTGGTCACCTGCAGCTTAACAAACACACGCGGCTGTTAGGACAGTGAACGTCGCCTGCCGGCCTTGACCGTCGACGTTGGCGCAACGTCGAATGGTTAGTTCGTGATTTGAACTTGTAACGCGCCCGCTGTCACCCGCCGCATGGTGTTCCCTCGCCCTCGGCAGAGAACCACTGGGAGGCGCGAGGAGCAGTGCCGGATTCAGCTAGTGCGAGGGCCTGTAGGATATTTTATAAAGGGGCCCTAAATAAAAAACAACACGTAAATATAAAAAACACAAAATTTGTACTTGCATAGTAAAGTAATTTTTTTTTGACATCAAGGGCATTGACATCAAGAGGCTTTACATAACTGGGATTACCTTTGCCGCTGCAGTAAAATGAGCAATCGGCAAATTTACCATCTTCCCCGAATTTCACCGTCGCAGAAATTTCTGAAAACTGTGAATCCGGCTCCAGACAAGATAACGGCGAGGGCACTCCCCTTACCGGTCACGGTAGAGAGCGGCAGCGACTCCATGGAGTCGCGCGGGTGCCGGAGGGGCGCGTCGAATGATCCCGCGAAGCCCGCCGAGCCGACGGCGTCCCCTTGGCGGCACTGCCTCTCCAAGAGCCGGCGGAAGGAATCCCGCTTGTCGAATGAAGGGCTGCGGTTCGAGCGCCTGTCCGATGCGTGGCCCCGGTCAACCCCCCGTCGCTCGCGTTGGCGCCCGTCGTCGCTCCTCCCCGCCGCCGCCGCCACCGCCGACGAGAGACGACCCTCGGAACCCTTGCAGAAACTAAAGGCCCTGCCGTGGGCCGAATCCACCGAGCCGCGCTCTCCCCCGTCCGGCTGCCTCTGCCGCTTCCTGTCGAGCACCGGGCGCATGTAGGAGGAGCCGCTGAGTGCTCCGAACACGACGTTCTTGTTCAGGTCGTCGGCGGCGGCGGCCACCTCCCGCTCCAGGCCCTCGCTTTTGAAGGGCAGGAGGTCATCGTCGCTCCGCCACACGTTATCCGCGCAGACGCCGAGCGGCCGGCCCGTCAGACTGAGCGCGTCCATCTGCCGCGACAGGGGATCGACGTCGTACGAGCCGTCGGGCGACCTGGAGCCGCGCGTCAGCAGGGAGAACGTGCTGCGGGGGGCGCGCCTCAGCTGGTACTCGTCCGAGCTGGTCCACTTGGCCGAGCCGCGGTGGGACTCCCGCGATCGCGCACTCTGGAAAGCAGAGTCGGACGAGTCGGACGCGTCGGGGTCCCTGCCGGCGTCGCCCGCGGCCGCCTGGCTACACTCCTTGGAGCAGTAAATGCTGCCGCCGTGTGGCAGGAAGGGGAAGCCCAGTAGGGGCTTGAGACAGCAGTCGCAGCTGAAGCAGGTCTCGGACGCGTGCCAGTGCTGCCCCCTATATGTCATCTGGCCCTGGTCAATTCCTTCTCATGCGAGCCAGACGCGTGAGCGGAGGGGAGGGACACAAATGGAGAAACGCAAATTACATGACGGTTTTCCTTCGTTGTTCCGACTTTTTGTTTGTCATCTGTAAGCACCATTTGTTTGATTGGGATTTAGTTTAGCCAAAAATAAATAAAATAAAAAAATCGCTAAAAATGCACAATTCCTTAAAATGTATCCATATGCCGTTAGACCTGGATAAACGTTCCACATGCATTAGATGTTTTGATTTTATTTATTTCTGACATGATGAATGAGAAAAGAGAGAAAGGAGCTATACTCATGAGACCATTACAAAAAACTGTACGAGTGAAACAAAACAAACACGACGGTAAAAAACACTCAAAATATAATAGATTGTTAACATCAAACAACCAGCCCGAATAGTGCCGATACATCGAATCACCGAGGGGAGGAAGGGATGAATCGTTACATATCATTAAGATGTCGGTAAGTATCTTGAACTTCTTTCGTGCTAATCGGGGGTGTGGGGAATGTGTTCCTGGTTTTCCATTTTTAATAAAAAAAAAGTGGCAAATTGTTCCAAATATTTCCAATAATACATTTTTATTTACAACTTTCGTGACTGCAGGAATTATTATTCTTTGGCTCTTTCGGTAAAGTCATGTAGACAGAAAAAAAAATATTAAAGTGACTAAAAATAAAATAATACAAATTAACCAAAAACCACGACGTTTTGATTGTCATAAAGAAAAGGGGGGTTAGCCTCTAAAGGCAAACTGTTTATAAAGGTGTAAAATGGGCGTAGCCCAAGTGTCAGCAGCATGGGCGGGGCAGCTGATGCTAAAGTGAGTGGTGGTTGTCGTGGGCAACGACGGCGCTGGTGGTGGGTTTCCACCAATTAAAGGGCTGCCAGGTCTAAAATGGAAACATTACAGCCAGTTATGACTTAAACTGGTTGATAACGTCCTTCCAGTGATTGCTGAGTTTGTACCCATCTTCACGGTTGAAATTGCATCTACGTCTGCATATATGGATGGCTTCATGAACAGATGTTTGTTGATAGCCAGTAGGCTTGCAACGTACCATCGTCTTAGAGAAATCAATTTCTCGTGAGCCAGCCGCATTAAAATAATGATCTGCCACGGCCGAAGTATTGGTCCTCCCATATTTCAAATTTGCCTCATGCTCATGAACACGGTCCGAGACATGTCGCTTAGTTTCCCCAATGTAACTGCTGCCGCAGATACAGCTTAGTTTGTAGACGCCGGGATATTGCATGTCAGGAATCTTGTCCTTCACAGATGGGATCATAATAGTTTTTCCCCTTTTATCTGGCAACAAAACAGGTGTTAAGATGTTAAAACACCAAACTGAAACCTTTTGCAAGGAATCATGTCTGCATTAACCACAATACTTGTGGTCAGAATGCAAACAAAAACACGCTCTGATAATATATGCATTGTCTTTGAAACTGATTGGTCAACACCAGAGAAAGCTTTCTTTCGAGCCTAGTCTCAAACGGTGTTAGACCAGAGGATGCCAAAAGGCGTACAGCACAAAGACAAACCACTATCAGAGTAATGAGAGCTCGGGGTGAGCAGCTACATCATGGGACCTCCTTTGCCAATACCAAGATATGAGAATAGGTTTTCCCCTTTTTTCTGTGGTCACAATGTAAAAGGTTTCAGTTTGGTGTTGGCTAGGGAATTCAAAGGGGACTTCGGTGACTTAGGCGGGGGCTTTGCTAGAGTTGCATCAGCTGACGGCAGGTTCTGGAAGCGGCCGTGAGAGTGCGTAAGGGACTGGGAGAGGAGTGATCAGGGTCGGTTGGAGATCTCCCTACGAGCAGACTGCCGTCGGTGCGACGCCTCGGAAGGCTGCGGGAAGAACGCCCAACTCCGCCAGACCGACTCACTTCTGCTGGTCCTCTTGTACGTATGTATGTACGTTGAACTTCTTTCACACCGTACTTAGCCAAACCGTGCTAATCACTTGCTTCTGCACAAGCACATCCGTCCGTCCTCAGGAGCAGCGAACAACCGTGTTGAACGCACCGATCAGCTGTCCGCACTTGGCGCAGTGGTCGGTGTGCAGCATCTGGAAGCAGCTGCAGCAAAAGGGCCTCCCCTCCTTCATGACGTAGCGACGGCCGCCCAGGGCCACGTCGCACTCGCAGCAGCGGAAGTGCTGCGTGTGCCAGTGGCCGCCCTCCGCCTCCGTGCACTCGTCCGCAAATATTATCTGCACAAAAAGCAGCCGCGACCGCGACGCTCGTCCGTTATGAGAGCATGTGGCCGGGCGCGAATCGAACTCATGAAAGGACTTTCGGAGCCACGGAGGAAGGGGGGGGGGGAATTAATTGAAGGGGAAAAGAAAGTCTTGAAATACCGACGGGAGGACAACGCTGTCAGCGGCGTGCGGCGCAACGGTAGGGGGCAGTGTGTATACGTGTGTGTGTTGAACTTATTTTGCACTGTGTGTGTTGAACTTATTTCGCACTGTATGTAGCCAAGGACAGCAAACGAAACGCAAAAAAGAGGTTCTTTAGAAATTAGTTTTCAACCTAGATTTAAAAGTGCATGGCTCCAGGGGCTTCCGCAAAAGCGCACTTTAAAGCGCGCGACGCGGTGACCATCTTTGTTAGACGGTTAGCCAAAAGCCGCTGCGATGACCGGAGTTCGCGCCATGATGGGTCTATCCTCCTCGACGAGATCGGCAAGGCATCGCGGTTCATTTGCGGCAAGCACTTTGTTGGGTGCAACCGGTGTGAGACCCGAGGACGAGCGACATGTCCACACTCTCTTCCCCAGTGCCAAAATCCGCAGACGACACCACCCCCCACGCCCCCAGCCCCGGCTCACCTCGTCACAGGCGGCGCAGCGGGGCTTCATCTTCTCGGCATGGTGGCGGCCGCAGTAGACGCGGCCCTCATGGAAGAAGTAGACGAGGTCGACGAGCAGCTCGGCACAGGTGGCGCATACGAAGCACGCCGGGTGCCAGCAGGCGTGGGGCCCCACGCGCGACGCGCACGCCGCCATCTCCCCCGCGCACACCGCTCCACCACACTGCCATCGACCCCGCACACACGCGGATGACACACACACGGACGACACACACACGCACAGGTGGGCGGGTGAGCCAGCGCACGCGTGCTGCAGGCGACCGGCAGGTAACGCTTCCGTGGTGCGTGGCGCCGGTGGGGCAGGGGCGACTGGCAGTGGTGGTGGTGGCGGTTGTGGTGGCGTTCGTGGTCGCAGCGGCGGTGGTGGTGGCGGTGGTTGTAGCGGCGGTGGTGGCAGTGATGGTGGTGGTGGCAGTGGTGGTGAATGGGGGCACGTATCATTTCTGTCACTGGCCAATAACCGCCACTGTCTGACCCGGGCTGTCGCTGCGAGTGGTTGGTGTTACCAGCTGGCAGTGTTGTGGTGCCAGTGAGAGCGAGTGGCTCTTTCTACTGGCAGCAGGGCGGGGGTGAGTGGTGCCGGTGAGAGCGAGTGGCTCTTTCTACTGGCAGCAGGGTGAGGGTGAGTGGTGCCGGTGAGAGTGAGTGGTTTTGCCTACTGGCAGCAGGGCGGGGGTGAGTGGTGCCGGTGAAAGCGAGTGGCTTTGCCTACTGGCAGCAGGGCGAGGGTGAGTGGTGCCGGTAAGGGCGAGTGGCTCTACCTACTGGCAGCAGGGCGGGGGTGAGCGGCGCTCTCACCTGCTGGCAGGTGGCACCGCTGAGCGAGTGTGGAACGATGCGCACGGTGCCCCGTCCCAGCGCCTCGCGCTTGCGCTGCAAGCTGAACAGCTGCAGCTCCTTCCTCTCCTCCTCATCCAGCGAGCTGCAGTACCGCACCTGCGACGGCAGCAACCCCTCGCTCACAACGGTCTCTGCTCGTTCAACGACCGCACACGGGCAAAGGTGCAGCCTTGCAATCGCTTGCTCACTACACACCGCTGGTGGAAGAAGGTTCACCCGAGGAAGCTCCAAACAACTCTTCTTGCTCCCGACAGCCCCGCTCTCGGGATGATATTTGGCCTACTCCTCCACACCGCAAGAGGTTGGCGTGTTCCAACGCACGCGGCCTGCCTGTGGTGACCCCATGTACACTCCTGGGTGGGCTTAGACGACGGAGGTATTTAATAAACTCGCTCCATTCTTTCCACTGCTATGCTAGCAGATGGAACCGGCAAATTTTGGATGTCCAGTCCGGTGCGGTCAGCGTGGCACCGCAGCAGCATCCAATTGTACGCATTCGCCGAACTGTACGTTGAACTTCTTATGCACCATACGTAGCCAACCGTGATTATCGGAGATGTGGGGGAAGGATAATAAACTATACTCAAAAAGCAGTTCTAAAGAAATTAATTAAAATTTAAAAGTGCATAACTCCCAGCGGCTTCCTAATATCGGAAGGAAGAGCGCTCCAGACGGCCACAGGAGCGCACCTGACAGCGCGCCTGATGCGGTGACCGTCTTTGACTTGCATGACACCTCTGCTTATGCTCCATTTATGTGAAACTCCCTTTCCGTCGGTGTCGAGGTGCTCGTACGCTGGCTCGCCAGGAGGAGGTACAGAAAAAATGTGGACTGTCCGTCTTCCTACCCACATGCAAAACGCCGATTCGTTGGCTAAAAAAACTTCTCGATATGCAAGGGGACTGCAGAGCTTGGGCAATTGTGGGCACCGGCCTCAATGTCCCCCTACTGCCTCTCCCCGGCTCTCGCCTGTGGCTCCCCGTGCCTCCGAGTTGCCTCTTCGTCGTTGCATTAATACACAAAGAGGCCGGAATCTTTTTAGTTTTTTTATCGCCAAGCAAAGCGGTTCCATCACCATGCGGGTGGGGGAGGAGGGAATTCACTTTTGACTTTAGTTCCCCGGCTGAATAAATGTGAAAACGAAATAAATAAATCTGAGTGCGCGCAGCCTTGCGACAGCGTCGAGCGATTCTTTGGTCAGACGCAGTAACTCAATTACTCGATAACTCGGTAACCCCATGACTCGGCAAGTCTCTCGGCCACAGCGGAGCTGCCCCGTCGTTCTCCGAGCTCTCCGCGTTTGGTGGAGGGCACTGGGCTCCTCGTCATCCAACGAGCGGCGAGTGATTCAGTGCGGCATCTGTTCACGAGTGCCGCATTCTCAGGGATGCACCCTGCACCAAACAGTTGCTCTCTCGTCTATTTTAGACAAGGCCTACTGCTGCTTACTATATATAGAGGTGTGCGTGTATACAAAGCTTGGCTACGTATAATAATAATTCACGGCGCACCAGGACCCGTTTGGATATCACTCGCGACTGACGTGAACCGGGGTCAGGAACCGCAGCTCAGGTCGCTGGATTAGGAGTGCAGTGCGCTCGTCGCTGCACCACCACTCCTCAAAGCAATGCATTTAAATACAAAGATTGCCCCCCCTCCCCCCTGTACAGCCGAAAGCTTCTGTTGGAGCAAGTGCTGTTAGCGAGTAACAGCACCTAAGGAGGCCGGAATGGCACACGAGGGGGTGGGTGGCCAGCACCACGGCCGGCCGCCTTTGTCTCCCGGGTACTCATTTGAGGCTGCGTCGAACTAGGGAAGGCCCAGGACTGGTTCAGATATAATCGTCACTGGTGTTGGCCGTGAGCAGGAATCGAACTCGGGTCGCCGGGTTTGTGGCGCAGTGCGTATAACCGCTACTCCACCACTCTCCACATGTATTCACACGCACACATAGACATATACTCACAAATACAAAACACTGAATAACCCCGAATTTGCCTGGTTTAGTGAATAATCTCAATATAGTGAATAATAGTGACTAGTGGAATATAGTGAATAGGTTTTGTAAATAGTAAAAAAAGCCTACGTGTTAAACCAATTAAAATATAATATAATCGTCACAATGATCAACATCAGCGTTAGCAATCACGTTCAATCAGTGCAAATTACCCTGCCACGACTTTGACATTGCATAAATAAGACACATGTTTTAAAGCCAAACAAACCACGTAGACTAGGGGGAGACCGGGTGAGTGGTTGCGATTGAGAGCAAAGGCTCCATTTGAAGGCGGACCCCTTTTTGTTTTTTGCATTCGCGATCTCCGTTGAACAAACCGGTGTCTTTTGTTTTCACGTCCCACGCGCAACGGCTTCGCTTGTTACATTACCCGAGACGTAGTTACATTGGCATATAATTTTAACGCGATTTGCATGCGTTTTGCATACAATTAGCAACATCACTTGCACGTCGCACACACCATTTATTACACACGTGATCCGATGCACGCGTCACGTGGCAAAGCTGCCGCGGTGTAACGGTGTCGCACGCCGGAATCGCCAACCGGAGGTCAGCGGGTTTTCATCTCCCGGATGCGGCAATTGAAACAAAATAATCTCCCACGGCCTCCGCGCACCGTACTTCAACCACGCTGGTGGCATGAAGCGGTTACGCCACAGTGTCGCCTACGACCGGCGGGGTCCCGTGCAGGTGGGGCAAACGGTGAGTACTTCCCAACCGGTCCGAGACGTCCTGGCCGGAGTGGAGGTGGAGGCAACAACAGCTTCGAGAGGAGATTTCTCAAGAGCTCTCTCTCTCAAGTGTGCGAGAATCCTCCTGCCAACAGTAGACGCCAGCAAGCAATTGCAGGGCTGCGGCTGCGCCTACGCCCTGGCTCATCGTGAGCCTTAGGAATCGGTGTAATTATTCCGTGTATCGTTGCACCCGCGATAGATACCCCAAGCGCGGTATTATCCTCTGTGTAAAGGATCTCAATGATCATGTAAAACACGGAGAATGACTTAGGGGGGATCGTGCTGAATAGGTGCAGAATAGAACAAGGGAATGGTAACACAAATAGGGCAATTTTCTGGTCGCACGGAATACAAAATGACTCGGGCCTTTCCAGATGCTAAGACTGGCCCAGTAATTAATCGCAACATGACTTTAAAATAAATACGGATCAGATTTTAGGAGCAAAGAATACACGGCTGCAGAAAAAAAAATGGGTGCCACGGTGGCGAGACGTTAACTGCCTCGCCTGGTGTACAAGACGCCATGGGTTTGATCTCGATGCTGAAAACTGTATATTTGGAGTTTGCATGTTCTCCCCGTGGTCGCGTGGATTTTCATCCGGGTCCGCTGGTTTTTTCCCCTCCACATTGAGAATCAACGTGCGCTTAGAGTATTTGGCTGCTAGAACGGTAATCCACTTGATTGAGCTATCCTTTGTGATGGCCAGGTCACTTCTGACAAAGAGCTACATCACTCAGTGGGCCTTAGCTGGTAAAATAAAACGGAGTTAAATCAAGTTTAAAAACAAATATTTTAGTTTCGTAGAAATGCGCACCGGTCATAACAATCTGAGCGATTCATGGCAGAGAACTTGAACAATTATCAGTATGGATACCGTGGAAGAACAATATAATAATAAAAAGAATAAGTTCAAAGGAGAGAGACTGGGTTGGAATTTCAATAATTATTTGACAGGAGACAAATCTGGGAAGGCAGCGGGGAGTCTGAGGTATTACTGTCGAGATGTGAAAATGTCTTATCACACCCCTGCATTAGATCAGGGATTGAAAACATTGTGGCAACTCCACAGGGATACATTTTTCAAGAATTACAAATCTGCGTTTTTGCCAGAGCACTGGCGAATGAAATAAAATACACAGTATTGGTTTAGAGCAAGCAGGGTTGTAGTGGGTAAACTCTTATGATGCGAATAGCTGATGCAGAAGAACTGAAAACATCTCTCTATTGCGTGTGCTTTGTTTGGCATCTGGCACAATGTCTGATGTTTCAATCCACTCGCTGGGAGCATCTCCAGGAAGTTAACCGAGCAGCCCGCATCCTCCCTTGGTGATACATTGTTGCCGCCCGTTGCTGACAAGTGTGTCTGTCAGTCCTCGGCTGATTGGCTCAGACCTCTCTTGACACAACCAATCAGGAGGTGTTCTGAATGCGTTCCATCACGGGTTTAAAGGCGATGTAAATATTCGCCGATTCATCCACTGCAACCGAGTCCCGATACACACATCGAATCGTGTGTTCCTATTAACTGGTCATTTACAGTTCACGTGTAAGTGTTCACAATCGTTGTGCTGTGCACAGCTCTCCAACGTGTTTTGAGGTTGCGCCGCGTGTTGTTCGGGACAATGTCCGACGTTTCACTCAACGGGTCTAAGAAGCTCCCACAGCTCGAGGACCAACCTGTCAGACATCATCACAGACGACACGTGGCGGTACAACCCGAGAAACTCATCGGAGAGCTCTGTGCATAAAACCACGACGGTCACATTGAGGCTTATTGGAGCAGCCAAAACAAAACAAGAAAGGAGCGAAAAAAATCGAGCGTGCAAACGAGACGGCAAAAATCGAGACCAAAAATAATTTATAACCAAATCCCAATCGGGGCTCTGCATCACGACGGCTCATCGTCGAGCCACTGCAGGGGCGAAATCGTTGTGCGTCTCGTGCGCGTTATGCAAGCATCGTTGCTTACGATCCAGTGTGGATTCACGATGGCAGTGACAGCCGCAGCAGCAGCAACTAGCATCGAAGGCTAAGGGCACAGTACCGGATGAGACGGAGGCTTCGACAAAGCTGGCAATGTACGGGGCCAGGGCGGGTAGGCTGTGAGGGATGAGTGTGGTGTGCAAGAGGGTCTGAAATTTTTTTTTTGTACTGGGTGCAATTGTGAGCAATAGCCACATCAGACAGTACATCTAATCGGCATAATCATTGGGTTCACTGCAGCTCAAAGACTCAGTCCCTACAAGGCGTGAAGTTAGGAGATGTCTGTGCGCTCGGCATTTGAAGGCCTCAAGACCAGAATCGGTAATTTCGCCGACAGTTTGTTCAGGGAAGCAGTTCCATATCAACTGGGGGGGGGGGGGGGGGGGGCAAGGGCGTGGCTTTGCATGGTTGTGAATAATCGGGTGGCTCGGCATCCTTGACAATGCAGTGGAAGCGTGGCCTGAAGGTCTGTGGGGCAGTGGTTGGTGTGCATTTTGTACAGGGATTGTGACAGCAGCGACTTGTCGAGGGTGATGCATGCCGAGGATGGCGAGTTTTGTTATAACCGGATGAAAGAAGCCTCTTTCAGGTTGGAGACTATTTCCGCAATGTTGTGCAATTGCGCCAGGCTCAGCTGTGCCAAGGATTAGCCAGTGGGGAGTCAGAAGGAGAGGCAATAGAGGAGAGTAGAGTCAGGCACTAGGGATGCATTTGTTGATTGTTTCCCGAAAACGATTCGGAATAAATTGGCGGAGAACTGTTCACAGTCTGGCACCTGGCGAACTATTGGAAACGTTTTGGGGTTTTTGAAATGCAAGAGGGAGGTCACAGTCCTGCAGAGGGATTATGGCGTTCCAGGTTACGTCCGTCTGAGACATCCGGCAAGCACTTGACCCCCATCATCAGTTGGGACGGATTCTCTGGGAACAACCACCAGCCTCCTCCCTCACCCAACGCTACGACATCCATCTTGGGCCACGTAATTCATCACTCATGTGCTGTAAAAATGTAGAGGTGCAGCCCTGGAAGAAGGCAACAAGTGCTTGACGAGGTGCTGGCGTGGGGTGGGGGGTTTGGGGGGCCTTTGACGATCTCTACACGAGTTCTTCTGCGTGTCAGTTTTTTTTTTTACCAGGTAAGGCCCAACACCGAGCTGCGTCACTCGTTTTCAGAAGCGGCCTGGCCATCACAAAATGATGGCTGAATGAAAGTGGCTTATCATCACATTGAAGTTTTATTGCAGCCAAAGACTCAGTGGGTGTCTTTGGGATGTTCACGTGCTGCTTCTGCCCATGAGCTGCACTCCGTTCAATTATGCCTCTTAATTCCGGAACGTGGTTTTCATTACTCGTGTGAGGTGCGAGATCAATTAATAAATTATGATGATAACGGTCATTCTTTAGATCGAATGAGTGTCTCTCACTCCCAGATAGAAGGGAATTCTATTTACGGAGGTGTTGGATAGGGGTGGCAAACCCGCTAATTAGAGGCCAAAAGCCTCTCCTAATCCCCCATGAAATGACATACGTACACACACAAGTTGGATTCATATAAAATCTAAATACATCTCTAGATGCCTGCCACTGCCAGTTGCTTCTTTTTGTCAATGTAAATTGTGCGGTCTGCATTCACCCGTCTAATGCAGCTGGCGCTTCTGGTATCTTTTTTTTGGCGGATGTAATCTTTTTTTTACTCCACACTTTTCCTTAAGTTATGAATGCTTCGAAACTGAGCTTGAAATGGTTCACGCATCTGTAGGGAGGGCACGATGGTAACTCGCATTAAAGATGAGCTCCGTATATAAAAAGAACTGCAATTTGAAAGTGGCATTGCTATTTGGGAACCCACTCCGTGGAAATACCAGAACCGTGAGAGATGGCGGCGATGGCTTGGGGTGGCATTCAGGCTGATTGATGATGGATGATGATAATGATGATGAAGATGATTTAATTGCACGGGTGGCGTATCTGTGAACACGGTGTTGTCTGACCTCATTGTCGTGTGGAGGGAGCTGGTAGAGAAGCTGGCGGATGCGGTATTTCTCCCCAACACTGTTGATGTATGGAACCTTCTCCTCTGGCAGGCAGCAGAAGTACTGGTGTACCTGTGGCGGAGACAGCAGAAAGGACGGCCAGGAACCACCGCCATCAGCGACCATCGGCGATTGTGTGCACGTGGTTACGCTGAACTTCTTTCGCACCGTACGGAGCCAATCGTGCTAATCAGAGGTGCGTTTGATGCAGCGCTGCCGAGGTGTGATGGCGTGACGACAATTTGTATCTCGATTTGATTGAACGTCCTCTCTCCAACTCCTGAGATGCCATGCCATGTGTGGAAGAACGTCAGTCCCTTCCCCCCAAAACTGTGAACGTTGTTTTTGTGTCGCCGTAAAAACACAACTGAACACCGCTGTCGGTGGCGAAAGTGACATCGTTCGTTCCAAACCGGGACATGATCGGTCGAGCTCAACGCTGGAGAAAAAAAAACAAGGCACGCTATGAAGCTTCAGGCGATCCATTCAAATGGTGTCCACGCAATGGCCACGCAAAAGATTTATGCATTTGACCATCGGTGACAAATGAACGGGCCCACCATGCAGACCTTTACAGTGCCGCGCATGTTTCGTTAAACCCAGAAGACAGACATATCAACGATTCCCAACTGTCACCACCTGTTCCGTGCGTATTATTTTTACTTACATGCATACTAGTGATGGCACGTGTGCAAGAATGACAACCGAGCGATTTATTTATTTGTCGTTGGCAATCCTATTTCGTCAATTTGGGTCACCAGCAGACACAAGTGCAGGCACCATGCCACCATGGTCACGGCCGTGATATACACGGATGGCAACAAAATATTTTTTTGTCTAGCAAACGCCATCGCAGGAGGTCACACACGATTGACGCAACGGTCCATCGCCGATCAGGGTGGTGAACGAGTTATGGTTTTCCGCGTCGTACCTGCTGAGGCTTCAGGCCGGGCGGCACCCAGGAGTATTCCTCCAGAACGCAGCCAGAGTCGTCGTCCGAGACGGTGTTCCGCTGCAAGCCGTGGCCGAGCTTCACGCTGGCCATCCCGCCCGTCCGCTCCTCCTAGGCCCGTCCTGGTGAGACCGTAACACCACCGCATCGTCGCGAGTCAGTGCAGGGCGCGGATCGCGTTACAGTCGGTCATCGATTATCCCGTCCTGGTGAGACCGTAACACCACCGCATCGTCGCGAGTCAGTGCATGGCGCAGATCGCGTTACAGTCGGTCATCGATTATCCGGCAGCTTCGGTATGGAGGGGACGTTATGTTTTTAGGTGTGGTGTATATGTTTTTTGTTTGTTTACGATATGAAATTGGCATACATAAGCATACAAATAGGCAAAAATAAACATCCTACTTTTTTACTGTATATACTTTACCGTACTTACCACTCCGATCTCGAAGACTGTGCATGGGGTGATGTATATACGTTCGGTATTTTCAGTGTTCAATTTGTAAGTAGTGTATAATGTACTGTAGAGAAAAATTTAACACTCAAATCAAGCGGAGCTACCTTTTTTTGTTACGTACACACAGTGCCGATAACTGGACTGGTAACAGCATTTGGAGCGGTCTTTCCGGATCTACCCGGGACCGCCGGATCATTTCGGAAGCTGAATAATTGTGCGCTGGATAATTCGATGATCAAATGTATTCATTATTTATTCATCAAAAAAAAAAGCATCACCAGGTCTCAAAACTCTCTGTACGTATATATGTTGTTGAACTTCTTTCGCACCATACGTAGTCAACCGTGCTAATCGGAGGTGTGGAGGGGGGGAGAAGGACAACAAACTATAAAAAAGACAAATCTAAAATAAATTAGTTTTCAATCTGTATGATTTAAAAGCGTATAGCTCCAGTGGCTTCTAGACGGCCGCAGAGACGAACAAAGGTGGTCACCGTGTGATGCGGTGACCACCTTTGTTCGATGGCCGGCCAAAAGCCGCCGCGAGGATGCTTGATGAAGGGTCCCCACGTCAGGATGATTTGGCAAGATTCTCGTCGAAGAGGTGCTTTAACTGTCGGAAGGAACCAAAGCACCCAGAGAGAATCAAGCGCATGTAAGACGTCTGGCTGGCATGGAAGAGTAGGCCAAATTCCCTCTGTATGGGTTATTTATTGAGTGAAGGCCCTTCCGCCAGCAATGGCATGAGCGAGCAACTGCAGGGCTACGCCTTTGCCGCAAGGAACAAAGATTTGCATTTATTTGGCGCTGAAATGCCCCAGCGTCTCAAACCGCCTTCCATCTCTGGCCCACGCGTTTTCGTTCCCCAAACTTGACTATTTCAATGCACCACAGATTGGGATTCCGATGAAGGTGCTTGGCAGACTTCAGTTCATTCATGAATGCTGCTGCTAGAATTATTTCCGCGAACTCCATTTCGTGGGCACATCTCGTGTCCTTGCATTGGCGACCAATCAAATATCGAATTGATTATAAGGTCCTGCTATTGACCTACAAGGCTATCATGGTGTTATCCCCCACGTTGCTTACAGGAACTGATCCTCTTCTATACACCGCCAATGAGGTCCTTGCCATCTTCTCATCTTCTTCTTCTTAGAATTCCGAGGTCAAGGCTCCGTGCCTGGGGTGATCGGGACTTTTGCCAGTGCAGCCCCTGATAATAATAATAACTCAATCAAAATCATTGGAGCTATTTAAATCTGCCCTGAAAATTCGCCTCTTTAAAACGCCTCCCCCCCCCACCCCCCATAGTTTTGCTCGTTTATGCTGCTGGCTCTGTCGTATTTTCTGCTTTCCATGCACCGTGGCGCACTTTGGATCCTTGGATGAAATGCGCCTTACAGATGTCAATGATTATCTCAATTATTTCATTGGCCAGTTGTTTTTTTTTACCATAGGGCCCCACCCCTCCACCCCCACCCTGGTGTGACAGCTGCCTTCTCCTCTATTAGCAGCGCTTGCCTTTCCACCAACACCCATCGAAGGGGCCCGCGTGTGTCCGCCTGGATTTGAACCGCTTCATCTTGCCAGCGTCTTCTTCGGAAAGGTCAGAGACACTTGAAGAGTGCATGAGTTAACTTCCTCTCCCGGGGAGGGAATTTGGAGGGTGGTGGAGGGGGGGGGAAGGTTGGTGGGGGTGTGAGGCTTGGGCATTTTTTTCGTGGTACGGAACACGCAAAAGGCAACGCACGTTCAGCACAAAGTCGACCGCCGCGTGATTGAGCACGCGCCACCTGTTACAACTCACGCTGGCCCCGCCGGAGGCACTGCGGTGGGCAAGACGCAGCTGCGCCAGCCGCTTTTACACCCCCCCGTGTCCGTCCTCTCGTCCGCACCCGTGTCTCCGTCTATCTACATCCGAGCCTCTCTGCGTCCGTCTGTTGTCCCGCTGTGTCTTTGTGCGTGTCTTGTTACTCTAGGCGTCCGTGTCTGCTTGTCGTCCTCTGTCTCCGTGTCACTCTCGGTGTCTGTCTGTCACCGCGGCTCTGTGTGTCTGTGTGCTATGTAAGTATGCATGTTGAACTTCTTTCGCACCGTACATAGCCAACCGTGCTAGACACTGCAGAGTGGCACCGTATTCTTGTCTGTCGCAGTGTCTCTTTTGCAACCTTCTTGATCAAGGTCCAGCATTTTCTGGAGTTGTGCGAGCTCGCCGTTAGTCGGGCGGCAAGGTGGAGTAGCGATGCCTCAGGCAGCCGCAGTGCTGACAACCGCGAGTGCGGGCAGCTGCATCTCGCGCCACATTTTTAATATCTTGTCCGTGTGAATTTTGTCTTGTGCACCCATTTGCCTACCAAATATGTCCGTGAAGCATCTCACTAACATGTTAGAAAAGATATTGTTTTGCCTAATTTTTTATTTTCCTTCTTTAAATAGGCCGATACTATCTTTAATACACGTATTGTCAATATGATGTTGCTATAAACAGTGACATATGTCGACGTAAGCATGAGGCGTCGATAGCGTGCTCTCCCTAACCCCAACCATGTCCTTTATTTTTTACGAGTAAAATTATTAAGTTTAATTTACGCGACTTTTGAGTTACGCGCCGTTTCCCCGCCCAGCAAGTGTAAAACGAGAAGTAGCCGTAATTTAAAAACTGTAGAGGCTACCCAACAGTGTAGGCCGCGGTTCAGGAATGGTTTCTTTCTACCATCGACACGCAAGGAAAACAATCAACAAGATTTTCGAAATCACCGATGAATATCAAAATATCGTTCGGCCTCAGCCTTCTGTAACGCATGAAGAGGCAATGTATTTGACTCGTTGGAGAATTAATGCATCATCGTTCAAGGTCTCACACACTGAGGCCTACATAAATAAAACAATATTTAGAGAATAATAAAAAACATTTATCATAACAACACGGACACGCCGAAATGTGATATGGGACTTGGAGGAAATAAAACTAATCTAGGTAGTATATGTGCCATGGTTTCAATAAGAGCCTAGAAAATGAAATTGATTTTTCCCAACCTGATGTTTTTTATGTACAGTGCATGTTTGGAAAGCTGAAGAGGTGCAGAATTCAAGATCAATCTCTCTCACACCTGATATTTTGCCGGCATGGACAAATTCACCCCTCCGAACTCCCCCAAGGTACAAAAAACATCTATTTTTGGCCTTTTTTCCATTTTCAAGGTCATGCTGAAGGTTCCGTAGGACACGCAGGGCCCTGAATTGCCCGTGTCTTACAGAACAACGTCCCCTGATTATATTCTAAAACTCTTGCATGTGAGTAAGCAGCTGAACCATGACAATGCTTGAGAAAAATCATGTTCTCACGTGGTTTTTAATTCCATGCTACCCTCCAGCCACCAAACGGCCAATTTGATTTAACTACACTAAGCTGTTTTATTATATGAATCCAGAAAAGTATAACCAGTTGGATTTTTTTTGGGAAATATATATAGCATTATATATAGCATCTGACGGTCAAAATAATCCAGGGTTTCACGGGCATCGTCACAATAACGGCCACGAAATTGTAACGACAAGGAGAATTGGTGAGCCGTAGTTGAGAGACGAATGGCCTTCGAGTGCAGACTCACAGGAGACAAAGATTAAGGGGCAGTTCGACTGCTGGTAGAAGAACGGCCTCCGATGGAGGGAGAAGTACCCGGGCGACCGGAGTTCACGTGCCGCTCAAGGCCAACACCAGTGACGGTTATCTGGAACCGGTCCTGGGCCTCCCCTAGGTCGACTCAGCCTCAAATGAGTACTTAAGTACGATGTGTAAACATTGCCACGAGGAAGACAAAGGTGGCCGGGCGTAGCGCTGGCCACCTCCCCACCCGTGTGCCGTGTCGGCCGTCATAGGAGCTCGCCAACAGCAGAATGCTATACGGGGCATCTTTTGTCTTCGCACACACAGTCGTCGGCATATCATCACAAATAATATGCGCGCACCTCGCAAACAAAAGTGTTTTATTTTTATTTACACACTTATAAAATGCAGAGTTGTGAAAAGGATTTACGACGCTGGCAAAACGGAATTCAACAGAAGCCAATCAACACGAGGGGAAGGTGTGTGCTACGGTAAAGCTCGAGCAAATAAAATAAGAAGCGTGCGGATGAGCGCAGAAAGCAGAGCGGTGGAGTAGCGAGCGGAGAGACGTGACGGCACCGGGCATGACTCACTCACACCCAGCCCACAGCGAGCGAACGAGAGCGAGCGAGAGAGCGAGCGAGAGAGCGGCTCACGGAACGAAATGTTCTCATTAGCTATTCTTCCCGGCGACGGCTCCTCGGCGCGTTCTCGCTCGCTCGTCTCCGAAGCGGCGGTGGCAGCGGCGGCGGCGGTCGGAGCCGCCTCGACGACGCGCGCGTTCTGGGGTTGTCCGTCAGCTCCGTTTGACGTCGAAGAGCCGCAAATTATCGGGAGCCGACCGTGGATTCAGAACGACGCCCGGCGCCTACAGATGCGCGCACGTGCTCGCGCGCGACCCGGCGTCAGGGGAGGGTGGGGGCTTCTGACTGCCACGATGGAGGTGTCGGCACGGCGACGTGCGCCGACAGCCGCTCGCCTTATGCCCGTCGGCGATATAAAATCCCGTTGCCGACTCGGGGAATATTTCTTCACGGCCATCTTGTTGGGAGGCGGCGG